ATTTCCATATGGCATTAACCTGTCCTATTCCCCTTTTTTCCTAGCATGACGACATCCAAAGTGATGGTGAGGCTGGTGGCAGTAGTGGTGATTTGAGCAAGAATTATTACAGAGCGCTGCTGTCTACTTCTTGCCTCATCTTGTAGGAAGCACACACTGCAGTTTCCCAGTCTCAGGGAGGTTAGCATTGACCTAATGCGAATGTTTCTTTTTTGGCAGACACGGAAATTGGAACAGAACCTCAGGTATCCCAGAGCTGAGAGACAGCACAGAGGCCAAGGTGCGTTCCTTGCATGCAGTCAACCTCGATTCGATTTCCAGATCGCCCAGGGTGATCCTTGCACACAGGACCAGGAGGAAGCCCTGAGCACTGCCGGATGTGGTCTCAGACAAACAAAAAGAGAACTTGGGTTACCATAATATTAAGAAATTATTGCTGAACTGTTCTTTTTGTTTTTGGGCCTCCTCCCAAGTCAAGAGCCTTGGGGGTCCCTCCTGGTGATTCTCAGCCAACGGGACCATTGCTTTGATGAGAGGGTCTCAGGGTGTGGTGTGGCTGTCTCTGCAGGGCAAGGATTACCCGGGTAGAGCTTGGGGACCCTCCAGAGCCATATCTGGTGGTGTTTGGGGGGCCTCCAGGGCTGTACCCTCTGATATTCAGGGGACCATATGGTGCTGGGGATCAAACCGACCCCATGCACAGTATGCACCTTACCCACTGTGCCCTCTCTCCAGCCCCACTGCTAACATTTTCAGTATAATTTTATATTATATAATGATATTATGCTTAGGTAGAAGTTCTATAAAGAAGACCACACCTTCTACAAGATCATTGTTGATGATTTTAATGCCAAGATAGGACCAAGAAGATCAGCCAATGAACTCCACATCGGGACCCATGGCCTAGAATGGAACGAATGGGGTGACAGACTGTCTGAGTTCATCATGTCAACCAAGATCATCCATGTAACTCACAGTTTCAAAAGGCTGAATCTAAACGTTGGACATGAGAGTCTCCCGGTGGACGGTTCCACAATGAAATAGACCACATCATATTCAATTGGCGGTTTTGCCTAACCGATGTTGTTGTTGTCCCAAAATTCCAAATGGGATTGGACCACCATCTCCTTCGTGCAAAATTCTACCTCACAGAAAGGGGAGGAAAGAATGCAAAGTTTAAGAAGAGAACTCCCAGAACGACCACCAACTGGGAGCTCTTTGGCTCTGTTGCGGCAACATGGGAAGATGCTGTCATTGACAGCATCGACGAAGAATATGTTCGAATGATTCAGCACCTCCATGATTGTGCGAGGAATGCCAAGAGAGAGATAACCACAAAAAAACGCCTTTCTTCCAACACTCTTGAACTTATTCGCCAACGTGGCTTGGCACATGCCTCAGACAACCGCAAGTGAACGTCCGAGTTGGCAAAACAGTGCAGAGAAGCGATCAAGGATGACCTCAAAGACAGGAGAACAGTGGTGCTGGTAGATGCAGCAGAAGCCGGGAAAAACATTCGTAATGCCTGCCTGTCCTTCACCAACTACAAGACCAAGATGACTGCCCTCCGACATCCTGATGGATCTATCACATCTTCCAGAAGGGCAATGAAGAAGATTATTCATGACTTCTACTCAGATCTCTTTAATAGCTACATCCCACATCCACTTTCCCACATACCAAATTCCGCAGGATGGATATGTCATTCCCAATGTTCTCCCTTCCGAAATCCAACATGCCATCTCGTTGGTAAAGAAACAAAGAGCACCTGGCCCAGACAAGGTCAGACCTGAACACCTGAAGAACTTACCGTCAGTACTCATAAATACCGGCTCAGCTCTTCACACGCTACCTGTCTGAATGCAAGGTTCCATCCCAATGGAAAATCAGCAGGACTGTACTACTATACAAGAAGGGAGACATCCACGACATTGGCAACTATCGCCCAATCTGCCTATTGTCTGTCATCTACAAACTGTTCACTCGAGTCATCCTGAATAGGATTAGCAGAACACTAGATGAAGGACAACCATGTGAACAAGCCGGATTCCGAAAAGGATTCAGTACCATCGACCATATCCACATGATTACTAAGCTCATTGAGGTTTCTCAGGAAGCCACTCTGTCTAACGTTAATTGATTTAAAGAAGGCCTTTGATTCTGTTGAGACGGAAGTGGTTGTAGAAGCCCTAGCCAATCAGGGCGTACAAACTCAATACATCAAGATCCTCCGTGAGCTCTATTACGGATTCACTACCAGGATCTTACCATTCTACAAAGAAGTAATCATCCATGTCAAGAGAGGGGTTCGGCAGGGTGATACCATTTCACCAAAACTCTTCAGTGCCACCCTTGAGAACATCATGCGATGACTGGAATGGGAAGGAATGGGAGTGAAGATAGATGGTCGGCAACTATACCACCTCTGTTTTGCTGATGACATCGTTCTAATAAGACCAAACATCAGCCAAGTGGCACAAATGCTAACTGACTTCGACCGTGAGTGTGGAAAGGTCGGATTACAACTGAATCTCACAAAGACAATGTTCATGAGAAAGAGTCTTGTTCTTGATGTTCCATTCACTCTCAATGGACCCACCATCTCCGAATGCAACAGTTATATATATGTAGGTCGAGAAATCAACATGATGAATGACCTGGCACCTGAGTTACACAGGAGGAAAAAAGCGGCTTGGAATGCCTTCAAGAGCATTAAAGAAATAACTAAGAGGACAAAGAACCTCCAGCTCTGAGCACATCTCTTTGATTCCACTGTTCTTTCTGCATTAACATATGCCTCAGAGACCTGGGCCCTACGAAAACAGGATGAAAACGCTATTCGGGTCTCTCAAAGAGGAATCGAAAGAGCTATGCTTGGAGTACCACGCTTCACTCAAATGAGAGATAGAATCCGGAGTTCCGATCTCCGTCAACGCTCAAGAATCAGGAACGCTGTCTCATTTGCCAAGGCATCAAAAATCAGATGGGCTGGACATGTAATGAGGTTTAGAGACGACCGCTGGACTAGAGCCATTAGTGACTGGATTCCATGGGACGTCAAAAGATCGCGTGGACGCCCACCTACAAGATGGACAGACTTCTTAGTCAAGACCCTGAATGATCGGTTTGAGGCTCTGCATACTCCTAGAATGAGCAGATGCCATTGGGCTACACTACTGGCACCCGCTCTTGTAAATCGATGAGTAACGGGGTATCAAGTGATCGAGTGCTTAGGTCAAATAAAAATCCTATGGGACATAAGATAACACGAACAGATCTCCAAACATTAGCCCATGGATCAGGAGTCTGCTTCCTGAGCCTGACTCTGGTTTCACTCCCAGCATCATGCACCCCCTCTGTCCCGGGGCATTGCTGGGGGTGGGCCTCCTGGTCCCTTGAACACTGCTGGGGATGTGCCTTGTGATCCCCAGCACCACATTTGGGGTCCAAGCATTGAGAGTTCTGGCCCCATTGGCTGGTATTGCTGGGAGAGGTCCTGAGCCCCTTGGCACTGATTGGGAGCCCTCAAATGAAAAACAAACACAAAGACATTTGACTGAAAAAAAACCAATCCAGGGCTGGAATGTGGCTGGGTGGAAGGGTACACAACGTGTTTCTCTGAGGTCCTGGGTTCAATTCCTGGCACTGCAGAAACAAGACACAGGGTTGGAGCAATAGTACAGTGGGTAGGGCACCCTGGGTTCAATCTCCAGCACCCCATCTGGTCCCCAGAGTCCCTCCAGGAGTGATTTCTGAGTGCACAGCAGGTAGGTCCTGAGTACCACTGGGTACAGCCCAAAATCCAAAACAAAAACAAAACAAAACAAAATAACCTAAAACAAAAACAACCAACAACAGAAAAGCCCAAACTCATTCTATATGATTTCATTTGTTTGGAGAATGCTCAAATATGCAAAGCTATGTATATACATATATCTATGTATATATATATACATACAAAGAGAGAGAGAGAGAGAGAGAGAGAGGTATCTATCTATATATATTGAAATAAAACTTATCAGTGGTTGCCTGGGTGGACATTGGCTGTAGAGAGTGGGAGAAGTCCTGGAAGGACTGGAGCACGTGCCTTATTTGTTTATGTCCCCAGCAACGGACTGGTAGGCCTCCAGCATCACTGTCAGGCCTGCTGGCTGGGCTGTGCTCATCACCAGAAGTGGCCCTGGACCTTCAGAGCAACGTTTAGGAGCACCCCCATAAAGAACCACGGGGGACTTTTAAGGGTGAGGGAAGCACAGCGGCCTTGGGCAGGGATGATGTGGCTACAGAGGGAGAAACTGAGTCTAAGAGGGGTGAGCTACCCTTTCGGGTGACTGGTCACCCCGTGGGTGTGCCAGCGAGGGGCCAAAGGCACAACGCAGTCCTGCTCTACAGGGATCGATTTAGGGCGCAGGATGGGGCCCCGGGGTCTCACACATGCAAGGCAAAAGCTCTACCACGGAGCGCTGCATCCGTGGCCCCTCGAGAGGGTCTCCCCGGCCGGGCCCTGCTGTCCCTGTGAGTGACGAAGGCCGGGCCAGTCTCCCTGCAGGAGAAGAGGCGTCATTTGCAGCTGAGCCTGAAGCCGCCTTTGCCGCTCGCCGGGGCAGGCCGAGCGCTCCCGCACCGAGGAGGGGCCGAGTGAGAAACGAGCTTTTCTTAGCCGCGTTCCCCGGGAGACAGGCGAGGCAGGATGCTCGGAGACTAAGAGACACGCGCCCCAGAGGGGTTCAGCGACGCCCCCAGGACCACGCACTCGTGAATTAGCGGCCTGCAGGGTGAAGGTGGGCGCCGCTCGCCGTCCTCCCCCGAGTGCGGGGGCGGCCGGTCCGTCGGGCGCTTCGGGGAACGCCCGGGAAGGGTGGCGAGTGGGCTGGGGGAGGGCTGGCGGCGGGAGGAAGGAACAGGGTATTTTTGCATTTTGACATTAGCACGGCGCGCCCGACGCGGCGCGGCAGCGGCATCTGTTTTGGTTTGGAAGCGGCGGCGGGGGCCCGGGCGCGCTGCGGGGCGGTGCCGGCGGTGGGCGTGGCCCGGAGAAGCCCCGCCCCGAGGGCGCTGCCACCCGGAGGAGGCGGGCGCCGCGCTCCTCATTCATTGTCTTGACAAGAGCATCCTCGGCGGGCAGTGTCGGGCGCCTCCAGCTTCCTCCTCCGCCACCTCCTCCTCCATTCGGGGGTCGCTCCTCTCTCCGCAGCAGGTAAGGCGGGGAGCCCCCGGGAAACGATGGAGGCTGCGCTGCCCCCGGCCACCTGTGGGGCAGGCGTGAGCTGGGCAGCTGGGTTGTGGGGGCGCACGGGCTGTCAGCGCTGGTGTGGGTGCGGTGCGAGGGTCCCTCGCGGGGCCCCCAGGCCGCTGGCAGAGGCCAGGGGAAGCGAGCCCCGCGGTACCGATGGAAGCGAGGGAGCCGGGGGTCAGGCAGGACTCGCCTGGGAATGAGAGGGTTGGGGATGGGGGTGGGGTGGGGGGCAAGGGGTGAGCTGCCCCAGCTCCGAGACAGGAAGGGGTTCTGAGCAAAACAAGAAAAGGCCAAGTTCCCCTTTCGGTGGTTTCCGGCCTGGTACCTGCAGCGGGGAGGAGGCAGGGTAGGGCGAGGCTTCCTGTCCCCCCATTGGGGGGCTCCCCTCTACCCAGACCCCGCTTCTCACCTGGGAATAGCCTCCGCAGCCCCAGACTAGCTTCTTCTCGCACATGCCTCACTGCCATCCTTTCTGGGCAGGTGACCTGGAGGCCGCCGGCCCGGAGGCCCTGGGGGAGGGGGCTGGCGCCCTAGCAAGACAGGCCCAAGGCAGACAGAGGGAGTGGGAGAAGGTGGGTGCAGAGGAGGCCCTGGAGAGCCCCCCAGAAGCGCTGGCATTTCCTGAGCAGCAAGGGATGCGCTTGGGCACCCTGACGGGCCCTGAACCCCAGGGGCTCTTGGCAGCCCTGAATTTCCTTGCATCCCCCACTGGCCGCCAGCGGGAGGGCGAGGGGGACCGTGGGATCAGAGGTGCTGCTGGGGGAACCTGTTCATGGGGGGGGGGGCTGGAGGTGAGGGCAGAGGCTTGAGGAGGAGGCCCTGGCGCTGAGCCCATGGGGGGGGCGCCTGCCCCTCACCGCCTCTAGGCTATCCATGTGTCCAGCTGGTGCCAAGCGGGGCTGTGGCCCCCTCCAGAGCTCCCTGTGTGGGGTGAGGAGGAGGGGAGGCGGAAGAGCCTGGAGAGGAAGCGTCACCTACCGTTCCCAGCCAGTGCCAAGTGGCTGCTGCTGCCTCGCCGCCCCCCCTGCGGTGGCCGTGGGCAGTGGGCACAGAGCAAGGCGGGGTGGGGGGGGGTGGGGGGTAGGGAAGGCCTCGAGGGGAGGCAGGACGGCTGGAAGGAGAAGCAGGGGCAGGGCACCTGGGAGTTGAAGCCGGCTGAGGGTTGTCTGGGGGGAGATGGGACCACTCTGAGGTCGGGGGTGACCTGCGTATCCCTCAGGATGAGCCGGCAGGTGGTGCGTTCTAGCAAGTTCCGCCACGTGTTTGGACAGCCAGCCAAGGCCGACCAGTGCTACGAGGATGTGCGCGTCTCGCAGACGACCTGGGACAGCTGCTTCTGTGCTGTCAACCCCAAGTTTGTGGCTCTCATCTGTGAGGCCAGTGGGGGAGGCGCCTTCCTGGTGCTGCCTCTGAGCAAGGTGGGTCCCTGCTGCTCGAAGGCCCAGCGTCCAGCCCTTGGAGGCCAGCCCGCGGTCCCCCCAGCCTGTGCCACCCATGCAGGGGTCACATGCAAACCAGCACAGAGGCGCTGGAGGGGCTGATCACACAGGCCTGCTGGCTCTCCCCTCCGGCTGGGGGCTGCGTTCAGTAACGTGGGCAGGGCTGGGATGGCTATGGGGGTCTGGGTCTGTGTGATTCGAGACCCTGCTCCCACCCCTGCTTTCCCTGTGCCTGCACACCCTCCCTCCCCCCCCCCCCCCCCCCAGCACACTCCTGTACTCTCTGGGTGAGACAGGAAGGAGAGAAGGGACCCAAGTAGTTACCTTAAAAGGGCCGATGCAAGCAGAGAGAAGAGGAAGTGGTTGTTGGGGTGCGCTGGGCCCCTCTTTGCACAGGAAGTGCTGCTGCACTGGCTGTCCCCGGAAGCTGCCGTTTCCAAACCTCGGCTGCCGTCTGGGGGCCAGAGATGAGACTTCCTAGTTCTCCTGGAGGAGGGATGTGGCCCCGCAGTCCCACGAGCTCCCCGAGGAACTCACTGCAGGACAGCCATGTGCCCCTGCCCCATAAGGCTGTCCTGGACCCGGGACCTGTGGGACTCTCCCTCGGGCAGGCTTGGGGAGACAAGGAACTGAGCTTGAGGCCCGGAGTCGGTCAGGGCTGGACAGCCAGGCTGCACCAGGACCCCAGGCCCCGTCCTGAGCTGCTCGTGGTCATTCTTCCTAGTTGTTGGACCGAGACAGGCCCAAGCCCCTCCACCCCCGCCCCTGGCTCTTGGCCCAGTGTCCCCAAAGCCTTCCTCTCTCACCTGGGATGGGCAGGCAGAAGCACCCCTCTTAGTAGCCTGCTGTCCCTCTAGACTGGACGTGTGGACAAGAATGTGCCCATGGTCTGCGGCCACACGGCCCCTGTGCTAGACATCGCCTGGTGCCCACACAATGATAACGTCATTGCCAGTGGCTCTGAGGACTGCACGGTCATGGTGAGCCTGGGGACCTGGGGCAGGGGACATGTGCCAGGGCCCCCTCGACGGGAGCCGCCCTGAGATCCCCTCACCCACTCTCCGTAGGTGTGGGAGATCCCCGACGGGGGCCTGACACTGCCCCTGCGTGAGCCCGTCGTCACCTTGGAGGGCCACACCAAGCGAGTTGGCATCGTGGCCTGGCACCCCACTGCCCAGAACGTGCTGCTCAGCGCAGGTGACTGTGGGCAGGGCAGGGGCAGGGAGCCCGGGGCCCTGGGGCATGAGTGGCTCCTGGTTTCTGACATGTGGGACCTCACCCAGGTTGTGACAACGTGATCCTGGTGTGGGATGTGGGCACCGGGGAGGCTGTGCTGACCCTGGGTGCCGAGGTGCACCCGGACACCATCTATAGCGTGGACTGGAGCAGGGACGGCGGCCTCCTCTGCACCTCCTGCCGTGACAAGCGCGTGCGCGTCATCGAACCCCGCAAAGGCACTGTGGTCGCTGTGAGTGCCGGAGCCGGCCTGGGGCCTGTGCTCCTCTTGCCTGATGCCACCCTGGCTGGGGGCCCGGCCCGGTGTGTAGGTTTCTGACCCACCTCCTCCCTTTTTCCAGGAGAAGGACCGTCCCCACGAGGGAACTCGGCCCGTGCGCGCCGTGTTTGTGTCTGATGGCAAGATCCTGACCACCGGCTTCAGTCGCATGAGTGAGCGGCAGGTGGCGCTGTGGGACATGGTGAGCACAGGGCGAAGTCGGGGCCTGAGGGCGGCAGGGGCTCAGTTTACCCACCCCCTGAGAGCATCCTGAGCTCCCGGTTTCTTCCGCCTGTCTGCAGAAGCACCTGGAGGAGCCCCTGTCCCTGCAGGAACTGGACACGAGCAGTGGCGTCCTGCTGCCCTTCTTTGACCCTGACACCAACATTGTCTACCTCTGCGGCAAGGTGGCCTGGCAGGGCGGGCCGTGGGGGAGCGCAGCGGGGAGCTGGGCTGGGAGAGCCGGGGAAGGGGGGGGTGTCACGAGATGCCTGACCCCTCCCTGCCACCTCGTGCATTCCTCCAGGGTGACAGCTCTATCCGGTACTTCGAGATCACCTCCGAGGCCCCGTTCCTGCACTATCTCTCCATGTTCAGTTCTAAGGAGTCCCAGCGGGGCATGGGCTACATGCCCAAACGTGGCCTGGAGGTGAACAAGTGCGAGATTGCCAGGTGACTGAGCTCCGCCCTGCCTGGGGGGTTCAGGCCCAGCCCAGGGGTGCCGTGGCCGCTGCTCACTTTCCTGTTCCCGCAGATTCTACAAGCTGCACGAGCGCAGGTGCGAGCCCATCGCCATGACGGTGCCCAGGAAGGTGAGGCCACGTGTCCCTGGTGGGCTCGGGCAGTGGCCTGTCGGGCGGCAGGGGGGTGGCGTGGCCACTCTCTGACACAGCCTTGCTCTGCCCACAGTCGGACCTGTTCCAGGAGGATCTGTACCCACCCACTGCAGGGCCGGATGCCGCCCTCACGGCTGAGGAGTGGCTGGGGGGTCGGAACGCGGGGCCCCTGCTCATTTCCCTGAAGGATGGCTACGTGCCCCCAAAGAGCCGTGAGCTGAGGGTCAACCGGGGCCTGGACACCGGACGCAGGAAGACGGCCACAGAGGCCAGTGGTGCGCCCAGTTCGGTGAGAGTCGGCCCAGGGAGCAGGGCTGGGCAGGGAGCTCCCGGGACTCCCTGGGTGGCCAGGAGTGGCTTGGCGAACTGATGCCAGGTGTCTAGATCTGCAGCTCTCTGGGCAGAAAAAGGGTCCAAGGCCTGGGGCCCTTGGTGGGCGCTGAGCTGAGCTGCTGGGGTGAGGGGAGCCAGTGTCTAGATCTAGGCCAGTGGTGCGCCCAGTTCGGTGAGAGTCGGCCCAGGGAGCAGGGCTGGGCAGGGAGCTCCCGGGACTCCCTGGGTGGCCAGGAGTGGCCCAAGGCCTTGGCGAACTGATGCCAGGTGTCTAGATCTGCAGCTCTCTGGGCAGAAAAAGGGTCCAAGGCCTGGGGCCCTTGGTGGGCGCTGAGCTGAGCTGCTGGGGTGAGGGGAGCCCGGGCCTGACGCAGTGTGGGGTCCCCAGGACACTGTATCCCGGCTGGAAGAGGAGATGAGGAAGCTCCAGGCGACAGTGCAGGAGCTACAGAAGCGCCTGGAGAGGCTGGAGGAGACGGTCCAGGCCCAGTAGAGGACTCGGCCCTCAGCGTGCTGGGCAGCCCCTCCTGCTGCCGCTTGCCGCCTCCGGCCACAGTGCCGATGGGAAATCCTAATAAAATGCCTTTATTTTCTGGTATTCTCAGACCCTGATGACTGACTGGTCACCTGAACGCTGGGTCTGTCCTAAACTTTCCCCCTTAGGTGGCCAAAGGGGTTCCCTGCCCGCAGGGGTGTGGGTGACACTTCTGAAGGGCCTGGACCCCACCAGACAGGCCTGGGTGGGTAGGAACCTTGATAAACTGTGACTTAATGGTTTCTTTGGTGTTTTCCTTCGACCACCTCCTAGGAATAAGTGTCCTCTTTTCTGTTTTTTTGGGGGGACTTTGTGGGAAAGTTTGGGAAAGTCCCCAGCAGAGGAAAAAGTTCTTAGCATTCAGACTAGGTGGGAGGGCCAAAGAGATGGTATAGGGGTAGGGCACTTGCCTTATATGTGGCTGACGCTAGTCTGACTTCCCAACACCATATGATCCCCTGAGCACTGTGGGCAGCAACCCCTACCCTTCCCCCTAAAAGCAAAATACTGCATGACCCTAGGAGAGGACTGGGTCTCACGTCTGTGCTTGATCCTTTTTTTTCTTTTTTTTTTTTTTTGTTTTTTGCTTTTTGGGTCACACCCAGTGATGCGCAGGGGTTACTCCTGGCTCTGCACTCAGGAATTACCCCTGGCGGTGCTCAGAGGACCATACGAGATGCTGGGAGTCAAACCCGGGTTGACCCTATCTGCAAGGCAAACACCCTGTCTGCTGTGCCATTGCTCCAGCCCCCCTGTTCTTTCTCTTGGTGGGAGGCTGAGAACCTGTGTGTGTGTGTGTGTGTGTGTGTGTGTGTGTGTGTGTATGTCTTTTTGTTTTGTTTTGTTTGGGTCACACCCGACAATGCTGAAATGCTCAGGGGTTACTCCTGGCGGTGCTGGGGATCATGTGGGATTCCAGAGGTCGAACCCGGGTCACACACGTACAAGGCAAACGCCCTACTGGCTGTACTATTGTTCCAGCCCTGAGGCTGATAACCTTTTTGCTTTCTTTTGGGGCCACACCCAGCAGGGCTCTCGAGTTTATTCCTGGCTCTGTGCTCAGGGATCATCCCTGGCAGGCTCAGGTGACCATATTGGGTGCCAGGGACTGAACCCAGTAACCCAGTCTGCCACATGCAGAACAAGCATGATTGGAGTTGATCATTTTGATTTACTTTTTGGGTCACACCCAGCAGTCCTCAGGGCTTACTCCTGGCTCTGTGCTCAGGGGTCACTCCTGGCGGGCTCAGGGGGACCATATGGGATGCCGTAGGTTGAACGTGGGTCAGGTGCGTGGAAGGAAAGTCCCTTACCCGCTATACTATCGCCCTGGCCCCCTAGCCTAGTTCTATGAGGAAGCATTCCCTCAAACAATGACCATCACTTTGTCCCTCGAGGCTAACGTCCAGGCCAGTGGCTTTGGCCTTAAGCTGCACTTTTTTATTTACTTATTTATTTTTAATCGAATCACCATGAGATACAGCTATAAAGTTTTCAAGTTTGAATTTCAAACAATGATTCAACACCCATCCCTCCACCAGTGCACATTTTCTACCACCAATGTCCCCAGTATGCCCCCCATCCCAACCCTCCCCCTGCCTCCATGGCAGACAATTTCCTCCATACTCTCCCTCTACTTTTGTTTTGTTTTGATTTTTTTCGCTTTTTGGATCACACCTGGCGATGCTCAGGGATTAATCCTGGCTCTCCGCTCAGAAATTACTCCTGGTGTGCTCGGGGGATCATATGGGATGCTGGGAATCAAACCCAGGTCAGCCGCCGCGTGCAAGGCAAACATCCTACCCGCTATACTATCGCTCCAGCCCCTCTCCCTCTACTTTTGGGCATTATGGTTTGCAATACAGATACTGAGAGGCAATCCTGTTTGGTCCTTTACTTTCTCAGCTGCACTTTCAAGTCACCTGGACAACCTGAGTCAGCGGCGCTAGTCTGGAGCCTGGGAACAGGCACAGTCTCATCTGTTTGTTCCCTTCCTTCCCCTTTGTTGAGCTGTATCAGGAATTGCACACCTGGTGCTCATATATTTAGTTGTGCTGGCCAGGGGCAGCACAGTGTACAAAGGTACACTGAAGGCTGTACCTTTGATTGGTGGTGGCACTTACTGGGGTCATGCTTTTTTTTTTTTTTTTTTGGTTGGGGAAGAGTCCACACCTGGCAGTGCTCAGGGTTTTCTCCTGGCTCTGTGTTGAGTGACCTCCCCTGGAGGGGTTCAGAGGACCATAGGGGGCGCTGGAGATCCAGCCAGGGCTAGGGGCGTTCAAGACAAATGCCCTCCCAGCTGTGCTTTGGCTCAGGCCCCTGCAGTCACTCTACTTGTGGTGTTTGTGCACATTCCAGTCGCCAGGGGTCGCACTGTCCTACCGGCTGCGGCCTTCTCCATCTCTGTCGCAGGAGGTGGCATCTGTGTACATCTGCCCACAGCCAGAGCTGCTGATTCTATTCGGTAAACGGGGACACAGGGGATGGAACTGGTGGTGGGACACTCACAGGGTGGTTGCCTGAAGCCACTGAGCTATTCTTCCAGGTTCTGAAAATAAATGTCCCCAAAAAGTTCCTAAGTGACACAAAATAGTCATCAAGGTTGAGAACCAGTGGTCTAGACTGGCCTGTGATGATAGACGACAACTAGCCTTAGGTGACTTTCAATATCAGCAAAAACCGAAATATTTACTCACATTCCAAGCCAGTGGCCCTGTGTGGCCGGTGATTGCCATACTGAACGTGCACATAGCCAAGAGAACATCCCCATCCTGGGCCCAGAGCAGAATAGTCGGGAGGGGCCTTGCCTTGCACACAGCTGACCCGGGTTCGATCCTCGGCACCACTTATGGCCCCTGATCTCTGCCAAGAGTGATCCCTGCTGTGAGCGCAGAGCCAGGAGTAAGCCTGCCAGGTGTGCCCAAAACCCAAAACGGAACATTTTCATCCCATGAGAAAGTCATGTTAGACAGGGCTGGTCTGGAAGAACCCAGCTTTAGAGAGCCCTGTTCAACTTGATTCTGGGGTAGGGCCTGAATTCTCTTCACTAACTGATGGTGGTGGAGACCTAAGGTTGCTTAGGAATTCAAGGACAATTATTTTTTATTTCATTTTCTGGGTCATACCCTGTGGTGTTCAGGGCTTACTCGTGACTCCTCAGGGGACCATATGGGATGCAGGGATTAAACCCAGGTCAGTCGTGTACAAGGCAAGCACCCTACTGGTGGTACCATCTCCTGTCTCTAGAGCTCAGGGTCTGAGTGGGGTCCACTTTCTCCAGTCACGTGGTTTCTATGATCTTGCTTTTCCTCGTGAGGCTGTCCTCAAAGCCTTCTCACACAGGCTGTGGGAAAGACCAGCTCGCCATGAACCATGCCCAAGGGTTATCAGGTCACTACTGCTAAGTAAAAGTATTAGAAAGGGCTCATATTTTGCACACATATGACCTGGTTCTATTAATTTTTTTTTTTTTTTTTTTTTTAGTATTTTGGAGGGCCTCCCCTGGTAGCGCTCAGTGACCACTCTTGCCAGGCTCAGGGGACCCTATGAATCGCATGCAATGCAACCTTACCTGCTATACTTTCTCTCTGGCCAGGAATATGGCCTGCTTCTATCCCCAGCACTGAACTGTCCCCCAGAAGCACAGTGAGGTGGGCCTAGCCCTTGACTACAAACAGGATGGCCCCCAAACCAAACCAAACTTGCAGGTGCTTTAGTCAAGAGCCTGGCTTCAAGCTGGGCTGTTACCCGTCAGTCAAGTTACTTTCCCAGTGTACCGGAGAGACAGGGTTAAGGCACTAGAGTAAGCCCTGAGCACTGCCAGTTTACTTATTTGTCTATCAGGCTGGTACTTCACCATCTGGTTGGCAGGGTTAGAGCACAAAGTGAAGATGCTACAGGCAGATCACCCCAAGATTTTTGAGGCTGCGGCCTAGGACCTCCAGACTGGTTTGCTCAGAGAAGCTCTGCAGGTTGAGGCTGAGTAAAAATAGAGAAGGCTCTGGAATATGGAGCAGCTTTGCCTGTTTCCTCCTGGACAAAGCCATTGCAGTCCCCTTTAACTAAAACTGTTTCTTAAAGTGGCATTATCTGCCCTTGGGGGGCAATGACCGAGGGGATTCAGAAGCTTCATGTACAATGGTACAACGAGCCCATTCTCCTTGTTCACTTAAAGAAGGTAGATTTTCAGGAGACACTGAGTACTTTTTTTCTAGAAAAGGAGTAGTGGGCCAAGTAATTCTAGGAACCTCCAACCTAGAAGAAATTTGTGGGATTATTCCGGGAGAAATTTGTGTGGAAATGTCTCTACCCGAGAAACACAGGTTCCTCTCCCTTGGGCACCAGAGGGCCTCCCCATTCCTGAGTTCAGGGTGGAAAGCCATACCCTCCTGAGCCCCTTATTGAATTGGGCCTTTTCCTACTGCCCCTACCCCAGCCGCCCGGTCGGGGCATGACTGGCCCCAGGTCTGTGGCTCAGGTGGCCTTGCCTTTCCTGCTCTCACCCCACCCTGTCTCTTGTGGCAACTCCTTCCTGTGAATCTCAGGCCACACCAGGCAGGGGGCTTACGGATTGCTGCACCTTCTCCGGCAGGCAGGGGCCTCTGATTCCTTCCAAGTGCAGGAAGTCCTTCCTGCACTCTATACCCCTGACATCTGGAAAGGGCTGGGACACCGCAAGGCTTGAAGGCCTCTATTCTGCCTCAACATCAGGACAACACCGGGAAGATGAAGAGTTGGTTGAAAATGGCCAGAGTAACTCAGTCCGGAAGTGTGAGCCCTAATGAGCCAGGTGCAGACCCCACAGAATGAAGAAGTCAGTGGAGGTGGTGACTATGACAAAAACTGGAGTACTTTATTTCACTGTTTTTTTTGGGGGGAAGGGGGTACACTAGGTGTACTCAAGGATGACTCTTGGTTCTGTGCTCAGGCATCACACCCGGGTTGGCTGCATGGCAGGCTGCACTATTGCAGTGGAATTGCTCCACTCCTCCTCTCACCCTATTTTCTCTGGTATCCATCTTTTTTTTTTTTTGCTTTTTGGGTCACACCTGGCGATGCGCAGGGATTACTCCTGGCTCTGCACTCAGGAATCACTCCTGGCGGTGCTCAGGGGACCATATGGGATACTGGGAATCGAACCTGGGTCAGTTGCATGCAAAGAAATGCCCTACTCGCTGTACTATCGCTCCAGCCCTTTTGGTATCCATCTTAAGGCTGTCAGAGAGCCCAGCAGTGATCACAGGACAGACAGATGGGTGGGGAGTGGTAAGGTCCCCTGTGTTTGAGAAGCATTAGGGAACTGTGAGACCAATGCAAAAGAAATTTTTTAAGTCGAACATTTTCTCCTTTTTTTTATTGTTGTGGGGGCCATCAAGGAGGTGCTGGAGTGGTGGTGTGGGCAGACATGAAGTGCCACAGGAGATGACACTCAGGAGAGTACCAGGAGCTCGCCCCCTGGAGGCGGGGGCCTGGCCCAGACCAGTCCCATCGCAGCGTGGGACACACAGGTCTTTCTGTGAGCTGGAGCTTGCAGACTGTGAAACACTCTACAGTGCGGGGGCAGGGAGCAGCCAGGCCCTCGGGCCCATGTTCCCCCAACACTGCGCAGAAGCAGGGCCAGATCCCACAAGTCCAGGGGCTGCAGGTCCTAGTCGCTTATTTCTGCTTCTCATGGGCCCACTGCTCTGGGGTGAGGGTTTTCTGCTCAAAAGCATGGATATGCTGGAGCTCTTCCGAGAGGCAGTTATTAACGAGCCTGGGGGGTGGGGGAGGACGGGACAGAAAAAGATGGGCAGGGGTTAGCAAGAGGCTCAGGCGAGCAGAGAGGCCGGAGGTGTCCCCAGGTCTCTGGACCTGAGTACAAGGGCGGAGAAGCGAATTCTCGAGGCAGGGGCCACCAAAGAGAGCCCTGGTGGGCCTGGAAGGCGGCTCTGGGGCGTGTTGCCAGGAGCAAGGGAGTTTTGAAGAATGGGGGGACACTGATGGAGGGGGTCTGGGGTCTCACCGGTGTCTCTGAAGCAGAGGCTTTCCCTCGAATTTGGACGACACCACGAGCACTCGGAAGCTGGCCGCACAACGGTTGCGAGTCGTGTCCTCGACTTCCTACAGGGGCGGGATGGGGGGTTGGGGGTCGTCCGCGGCTCCGGGAGCCCGCTCCCCCTCGCGGGCGAGCCCGGGCGGCTCCACTCACCACGTGGTCGGCCTCCAGGTCCCGCTGCAGCTTCTCCCGGAGGTAGTCGGCGCTGAGGTCCATCGTAGCAGCCCAACGAGGGCGGCAGCCCAGCGGGGACGGGACCCCGAGCTCGGGCCCGCGCTGCACGCTTCCGCCCTTACTGACGCCACTTCCGCCGGCGCATCTACTTCCGCCCCTGCGGAGGCGGGTGTGAGCCCGTCACTTCCGGCCCCGGCCAGCCGTTCTCCCACGGCCTAGCGTCTCGGCGCCGGCGGTCAGCGGGGCAGGGGGTCCGTCGGCACGGGGGCGGGTCGGCCGCCTGCACGGACTCTTTAGGGTCCAGACACCCTCGCTGCAGCCCGGAGAGGGGACACGAACCCGCGCCGCTTGGCTTTTAGGCCACCTCGGGGTCGTCCCAAGCATTTCCCCCAACACGAGCATCTCGCGACCCCCGCCCATCCCCTCCCGGGCTCGCCGGCCTCGGCGGTCCACCCCCAGCCGCGTCCACCCGCAGCTTCGGCCCTCGACCCCAAGCCTCGCCCCCGATGAGCCCCGCGGGGGGCTTCTTTGGCGTCTACCTCCTCTACTGCCTGAACCCTCGGCACCCGGGCCGCGTCTACGTGGGCTTCACGGTCAACCCAGCCCGTCGCGTGCAGCAGCACAACGGGGGCCGCAAGAAAGGCGGGGCCTGGCGGACGAGCGGGCGCGGGCCCTGGTGAGAGGGGCGGGTCTCGGCCGGGGCGTCGGGGAGGCGTGTGGGGGCGGGGCTGAGCTCGGCCTGGGGAGGCGGGGGTAGGGGTGGGGAGGCGGGACCGTGATCTGGTGTTGGGGGGATTAACCTGGGAAGGGGGCGTTAATCCGGCATGGGGGGGATTAGCCTCCGAAAGGGGGGTTAAGGAGGGCAGCTGCCAGGACCGAGGCGGGACACACCTTCCTTTTATGCAGAGGCGAGTCTAGGGGAGAGCTAACACTGCGGGGAGGGTGCCTCCTTTACACAGGCCGACCCATTTCGATCCCCTGCACCCTGGTCCCCTGAGCACCGCCAGCAGCGATCCCTGAGTGCAGCCAGGAGTAAGCCCTGCGCACCCACCGCTGGTGTGTCTGTCCCACACACAAAAAGAAAAGAAATAAAAATTAGAATGTATTTATTGAGGAAGCATTAGGTGACCAGAGTGTAACTGTTTATGTGTACAATATTTCCACATTATGGGGACCAGAGAGATAATGTGCTCGCCTGGCATGGTTCAATCCCTGGCACTCCTAAGGTCGCCCAGCCTTTAGGAATGATTCCTGGGTGCAGAGCCAGGAGCAAGCCCGGGCCCAAGGCTGGGTGTGGCCCCCAAACAAACAAAAAGGTCTCTTGGCTAGGTGAGCGCAAGGGTTCTGGTGGGCTGGGGTTCGACTGGCATGTGGGTAGGTGGTGCACTCACAGGCTGACCTCCTGCTCTCCAGGGAGATGGTGCTCATCGTGCACGGCTTCCCTTCAGCAGTGGCCGCCCTTCGGGTAAGACAAGTCTGAGGTCGGGGGAGAAAAGGAGTGGGCGCAGGCCTGCCCCTGCGTGCAGGCAGCCTGGGTTCCATGGCAGAGCACCCGAGCGCTGACCGGAGTGACCCCCGTGCCCATCCCCACCAACTCCCTACAGAAAACAGGAATGGAGCTGGGGATGGCAGGAGGATGTGGGGAGCCTTGGGACGATCCCGATCCCCGGGCTTGGTCTGGGGACAAGGGACAGGACTGGGGGGGGGGCTTTTCCATCTGAAACCTGATCCTGTGTGCCCCGCAGTTCGAGTGGGCCTGGCAGCACCCGCACGCCTCGCGCCGCCTGGCACATGTGGGTCCCCGGCAGCGCGGTGAGGTCCCCTTCGCCTTCCACCTGCGCGTGCTGGCGCACATGCTGCGCGCGCCACCCTGGGCGCGCCTCCCGCTCACGCTGCGCTGGCTGCGCCCCGACTTCCGCCGGGAGCTGTGTCCACAGCCGCCGCCGCACGTGCCGCTGGCCTTCGGGCCTCCGCCCCCGAGGCGCCGCGCCGCACCCACCACCCACCCGGCCCGGGACCCGGACTCCGAGGCCCGCTGCAGTCTGTGTGCACGTGAGCTCCAGGTGGGGACAGTGCCCGCGCCGTGAAGGTGTTTGGGGGTCCGAAGACTTGGCACCCGTTGACCGCCCCGCCCCAGGGTACCATAGCGTGTTTGGACAGCTCCTGACCCCTGCCTGCCGGGGTGGGGGGGTGCCACTTCACCCGCCATTCCTTTCTGAAAAGAAAAGCCTTCCACTACCGCGTATTTCCTCTGTCCATACCAAGCTCCACAGGGCAGCACCTGCTGCCTCAGTGCCAGGGCCAGGCTTTGGCCTAGCCCCAGCCACGGGGGCCACCCCAGGGAATTGTGTGAAGGACCAGCTCTGTCCCTGGGAAGCACTTTGAATACTCTGTGCCTCAGTGGCCTTGTTTGCAAACTGCAGACGGGCAGCAAAGTGTCTCCAGCACAGGGGGCTCCAGAGAAAGCCCCTTCAGCAGTGGCTGATCGCCCACTCTGCCCTGCCGCATCTGACAGGATGAAGAGGGGCCCCTGTGCTGCCCGCACCCTGACTGCCCACTCCGAGCCCACATGATCTGCCTGGCAGAGTCGTTCCTGCGGGAGGAGCCAAGGCAGCTTCTGCCCCTGGAGGGCGAGTGTCCCGGGTGAGTCCTGCCGCCTGCCCCAGGGCCTGGCCCGGAGGAGGCTTGTGGGCCTGACTGCGTGTCCCCTGGCAGCTGCAAGAACTCGGTGCTGTGGGGAGATCTGATCTGGCTGAGCGGCATGGGCGTCCAGGAAGCAGAGGATGATGTGGAATTCAAGGAGGTGAGAGGGGGTCTAGGTGCCAGCCTCCTGGCCCCGGGTGCCCCAGGCACCGCTCACCCCGCTCTCATCCCACAGGCACACTGGACAGACATGCTGGAGACTGACCCCTCCCCCCCGCACCTGACTCCCCCTTAGACCTGCCCCTATTTCCCCTCTGGACTTGATCCCCCTGCCCCTAGACCTGCCTCTCTGCCCCCCAGCCCTGCCCCTGGCCTTAGGCCCGACCTACCCTCTTCCCACCCCTTTTCTCTGCCATCCCTGCCCGTCTGAGGGGTGTAAATATGCAGTTTTTACTCAGTTCAATAAATTTATGAATAATGGGGCACTTCTGATGTTTCCGGGAGAGGGGGAGAGGAGTGGAGGCAGCGGGCCCACAGGGTGGCTGAGGAGGGAGGGAGGAGGGCTGAGGCTCTTGGAGGCGGTAGAAGTGCTGATGATCAGGGTGCCAGGGTTGCAGCCTGTGCTCGCTCAGTGGCCTGGAGCATGGAGACTCACCCTGACTCTCAGCTCACTCCCCTCGACCACGCAGCTCCACTCAGGCAAGGGGAAGGGGCTGCTCCCTGTCAGTAGGGCCCTGGGGCCAAGCCCCAACTTGACTGCATACTGTCCCAGTTGCACTCTAGACCATGCCCCCCAGCCCCGCCCTGGAATGCAGGGAGCGAGGCGCGTATCTGACTTTAGGCAGCAACCTTTGCCCCTTCACTTGCCCCCTACGCTGCCTGGACCAGCCCTGTGGTTAGTGCCAACAGTTCTTATTGCCCTGGCCCAGGGCCACCGGGTCCTGACCCCAGGGTGTCTGGCCCAGAGCCAGCAGCAAGGTGAACCCGACCTTCCCCTCCCTGCCCTGCCCGGCTCAGCCAATCCGAAAGGACGCGGGGCAAGATGAGAAATGAGGCCCCAAACTATCTGGCCCCTTTTCATCTAGTTCTGGACTTTCTCTGGAAATCTCCCCGGTAAACCCACAGTTGGGTTTTCAGGCCAAACTAATCTTGGATGCTGAGGCAGCCCGTACTGGGCCTCGCCTCCCCAGCCCCAAACTCCACCCTTTCCTTCCTGGAGAGCAGCCAAGTCCCAGTGCACGCCAGACCCCTCCCACCCTGGACCTACAAGCCCTGGGCTCCTGAGGTGGCCGGGCAGTCTGCAGTCTGCAGAGGAACCGGGAGGTCAGGTGAGTGTGGGGCGGGCAGCGGGCTCCCTGCTGCGTGGTCCTGGGGATGTCAGGTTGTGGTGGTCAACTCCAGCCCCGCTCCAACCCTCTGCCTCTTCTGTCACCACGGATTTGCTTCTGACATAGCAGGCTCTGTTTCCCAAAAGCAGCCCTATTGCCCAACTGTCTGTCCTTGAGCCAAGACGGGCAGTGGCTGAGGAGGGGGGATTCTGGGTCCCTGCGGGTCAGGAGGTTTGCAGATGCGAAGCCCTCTGCCCCCCCACTCCTGGATCTCTAGGAGGGCCCCACAGAAGAGCCACTTGGAGTGGGCCTGGAGCCAGATGTAGTAAGAGAGAAAGCTGGCTGGCAGGAGTTGGAGCAGGCAGGTCTGGAGCTGTCTTCCCCGGGTGCCCATCAGCATGTTCTGGAGCGCTTCCAGAGCGTAGCTTTCTGGGCACTGCCCTCCCAGGGAGGCAGAGTCACTGTGATGTATAGGCTGGCCGCTGGAATTTTGAAAAGCTCAGTGGATAAGTCAAAGTACATCAGGAGTTGTCACCTGCTCCATCGCCCTTGGGGTTGCAAGCAAGGTTGAGCCACCAGGTTCTCAGCCTCAGCACCCCAGCCTTAGCACAGGAGGTTTGGCCCTCCACTCTGGGGAAAAGAGAAAGTTTTTTTTTTTTTTTTGCTTTTTGGGTTACACCCGGCGATGCTCAGGGGTTACTCCTGGCTCATGCACTCAGGAATTACTCCTGGCGGTGCTTGCGGGACCATATAGGATGCTAGGAATCTAACCTGGGTCGGCCACGTTGGCTGCATGTAAGGCAAACGCCCTACCCGCTGTGTTATTGCTCCAGCCCTGAAAAGAGAAAGTTTTAAAAAAGGAATTCATGGGGCAGAGCACAGCCCTACAGGTCCAAGGCCCGGGTGAGAATAATAGTGTCCTTTTCATTTGAGCTGAGGGGCTGAAGAGATTGTCTAGTGGGTAGGGCAGTTTTCTTTGCACACTGCCCTCCTGGTTTGATTCCCAGCACCCCAAATGGTCCCCCAGTATAGCCAGGAGTGATTCCTGAATGCAGAGCCAGCAGTAAGCCCTGAGAATAGCTGGTTGTGACCCAAAAACAGGAAGAACGTTTCCAAACTGAGGACGAAGCACTTGCCCTGGGTGTGTGAGGCTGATCTCCAGCACTGCAGGTAAAAAGCATTCAGCGCTGTCCCCGTGGCTCAGAGAAGTGTGTCCGCATCCCTGAAACAGTGGCATGGAGACTCGGCCACCGCTGGAGTACGTGAAGGGGATCCCCCTGATCAAGTACTTTGCAGAGGCGCTGGAACCTCTGCAGAGCTTCCAAGCCAGGCCTGATGACCTGCTCATCAGCACCTATCCCAAATCTGGTAGGTGACAAGGGCCGCCCACCTCTTGGGGACCATGGTCCTGAATGGCCCCTGGGCTCCCACCCTCAGTCCTGGCACCTCTTTCCCCTCCTCCAGGCACCACTTGGGTGAGCGAGATTCTGGACATGATCTACCAGGGCGGCGATCTGGAGAAATGCCGCCGGGCCCCCATCTTCATCCGGGTGCCTTTCCTCGAGTTCAAGGCGCCAGGGCTCCCCTCAGGTATGCAGAGGGTGCGGGGCCGTGTGTGTGTGTGGGGGGGGGGGGGGGCGGTAGGCGGGGACGCTCCAGGCTGGGACTCAGGAACCATTTTCTCATGCTTGCCTAGGAATGGACACTCTCAAAGACACACCAACCCCGCGGCTCCTCAAGACGCACTTGCCCCTGACTCTGCTCCCCCAGACCTTGCTGGACCAGAAGGTCAAGGTGAGAGGCAGAGGCAGCCCAAGGATGCAGTGACTGTGGGGAAGCCCGGCTCAGACCATCTTCTGACTGGCACCAGTGCCAGGGAGACGCCCTTGGGTAGAGCTGAGAGCAGCAGACTCAGGCTGTTGGGGGCGCCATGTGGGCAGGGCCAGGCACCCGCACACCTGTGACTTCAAGGGATCAGAGTCAGGCCTGGGGGCTGGAGCAATAGCACTGCAGGTAGGGCGTTTGCCTTGCACGCGGCTGACCCTGGTTCGATTCCCAGCATCCCATATGGTCCCCTGAGCACCGCCAGGGGTAATTCCTGAGTGCAGAGCCAGGTGTGACCAAAAAAAAAAAAAAAAAGTCAGGCCCAGGATAGCAGAGCAGGGCTCAAATCCATTAGTCATCCCTGCCCCCAGATCCCTTTCACACACCTGCGGGCCAGGATACTCTGTGTGTTTGTGTGTGGGAGAGGGGGGCAGACGGGGGCTGCTCCTGCCTGGCATGCTGGGGGCTGATGGTGCCAAGCTGGAGCATCTGCCTGCCTTTCCAGACCGTCTATGTTGCCCGCAATGCAAAGGATGTGGCTGTCTCCTATTTCCACTTCTACCGCATGGCCAAGGTGCACCCGGACCCCGGCACCTGGGACAGCTTCCTGGAGAAGTTCATGGCTGGGGATGGTGGGTCTCGGGAAAACTGCTGGTGGTGGTGGGCTCGGGCGGCAAGGGCAGCCCAAACTCACGCCCACATGCCACTGCCCTCCGCCTGCCAGTGTCCTATGGGTCCTGGTACCAGCATGTGAAGGAGTGGGAAGAGCTGAGCCACACCCACCCGATTCTTTATCTGTTCTACGAGGACATGAAGGAGGTGAGCTGGGGCAGAGCGGCAGGTGTGTGTGTGTGGGGGGGGGGGTCGGGCCTGATGGTCTGAGATGTTCCCCCAGTGGCCCCCAGTCAGTGCCAGTCACGGGAGACCATCCCTGTCCCCACTCTCAAGGAACCACACCAGCTGGTTTCAGGGGTCGGGGGCCAGTGTCCAGTGCAGGAGGGAGTCCCCAAGCAGAGAGCGCCGGATCTCCTAGTTGGAGAGGGGTCTCCCTTCGGCCCACACCTCCATGCACCTGCTGCTTCAGAACCCCAAAAGGGAGATTCAGAAGATCCTGGAGTTCCTGGGGCGCTCCCTGCCGGAAAAGACTGTGGATTACATCGTTGAGCAGACGTCCTTCAAGGTGATGAAGAAGAACTCCATGGCCGACTTCATCAACGTCCCCACTGAAGTCATGGACCAGAACATCTCGAACTTCATGCGGAAAGGTGCGCTCCTGCCCAGGGATGTGTTTGGGAGACCCGGGGTTTGGGCAGAGCAGCCTCTGGACCTCCCGCTCACTCCTTTTCCTCAGGCATTGCAGGGGACTGGAAAAACACCTTCACTGTGGCCCAGAATGAGCGCTTTGACGCCGACTACGCTGAGAAAATGGCTGGCTGTGGCCTTCACTTCCGCACGGAGCTATGAGGGAGCCAGGCGGGGAGAGCGCCCGAGGGGGGGTGCGGAGCAATCCTGTTCCCTGCCAAGAATAAAGCATGGCTGTGCTAAGTGGAGCCCTGACTGAAAGCAAAGAGATCACGGAGCCCGCTGGGAGCACCCTGGAATTCTGGTTCCCACCTGCTGGGGCCTGGTGGGGAGGGTCCTGGTGCAGTGACACCTGGAGCCACAGGCCAGGTGGGAGAGTCTTTATGCCGTGTTCCCAACCCAGCTACGCCAAGCAATGGGGATTATGACGGAAGTGGTTCTCCAGTGGGGCTGGACATCTAATGCCCTGGGGAGTGAAAAGAATCCCTATTGTCTTAGGGAAGAATCATAAGCAGATGTCAAAACTTAGTGGGCGTGATGTGTGCGGGAGAGGACATCCTCTCCAACTCCTCCCCACTCTCAGTTACACAGTGGAGAAGTGCAGTACCTTGACATTGGGGAGATATGAGAGAGACTGTGCTTCTGGTTCTGGGGTCACATCAGCAGTGCTCAGAGGCTACTCCTGGCTCAGCGTTTAGGGGGGTGTTACTCCTCAAGGCACTCAGGGAACTGTTCAGGGTGGGAATTGAAGCCTGAGCCCCAAAGTGTGTGCTCAGCCCACAGCTTTCTCCAGCCAGGACGTGTGTGAGCCCACAAGACAGTGGCCGGTGCAGACCTTCTCCTGAGTCACTGCTGCTGAAGCATCCCTGAATCTAACGATGTGGAAACATGCCGAGAATCTCCCAAATGCCAAGGTCACAGGGCGGGGATATAGCTCAAGTAGTAGTGCACGTAAGTTATTTAGCGTGTGTGTTAACCCTACTTGTGTTGAGCCCTGGGTTATCACTCGCAATGCAGGGCCCCCCAAACACTGGTGGGCATGGCCCCAGGACAATAAGAAGTCATGGTGATGGGGCCTGAGCCATAGTACAGTGGTAGGACATTGACCTTGCACACAGCCAGCTCCCCATGTGGAATCCTGGGTACAGACCACGCATTGGCTGATGATTCTCACCCACCGCCAACCCAGTCCAGACTCCAGAAAACCTGGAGAAATTCCACGTAGTTGGGCTGGAGGCAAAGAACAGAGGGGAGGGCCTTTGCCTTGCACGCAGCTAACTCGGTTCAACTCCTGGCAATGGTCAGGAGCCTGGCAGGAGTAAGCCCTGAGCACCGCTGGGAGCAGTCCCCAAACAACAAAAGGTCAAGGTGACATAAGACAGAGCCGAGCTGGGGCCTGGTCAAACAGAGATGGGGACCTGGGGAGCGAGAGGCTGAAACGAGTGTGAGCGCACCCGAGCTGTGCTTCTCCCCCACAGCTATCACTTGGGCTGTGAAGAGCAAAGTTTTACTCTGGAGAAGTATATCTGGCCGTGAGGAACACGGAATATGATCTGTAGACAAATTAACAGTTTAATCTGGTGTCAATGTGCTGATCTTGAAAAATGCGCCCGGGCTGCATAAGTACATGCCTATTGTTGAAACAGCGACGTATTTAGGGATCAAAGGGCATGATGTCTGCAGCATACAGAGTTCAGAAAAATAAATTGTCTGAACATCATACTGGGATGTTAGTGCTAATAGCAGAGTCCTCTACGAAAACTGCACCCTCCGGTTGTTGCTGTCACACACTGTTGTCTTTACACACACTGGGGCATGTGGGCTGGGACCAGGGAGTGAACTCTTGGTCTTCTGCTGGCTCTGTGCCAGCAGAAAGTCCTGGGGCCAAAGGACATGGGGAGCCCGTGCAAAGCCCCAGTTTGCTCCCTGGTACTGCAGGCGTCCCCACCCCAGCACCACCAAACCTTACTGAGAAACAAAAAAGCATGGGACCAGGGAGCTTGTTCAAAAGGCTGTAAAGCACGCCTGGCATAGATGAGGCACTGTCTGACCCCCAGAAGGTGTGCGCCCACCTACACTGCTGGGTGTAACCTTAGTGGCCCCCACTTAGACTTGCAGCAGAAGTGTCAGGTGTGGATTATAGGGCAAAGGATCACTAGGAGTGGCCCTTAGGGACCTGAGCCGGACGGGGGAACCTCCTCCAACACTGAGATGATAAGGAAATGTGGTCAAATGTTGTATTTGTTAGCCTCTGAAATAATTTTAAGAATAGAAAGTTAATACCAATATCTGAACTCTGCCCAATTAAATCAGGACTTCAAGGCACTGCAAGACTTCCACTACTGCGTATTTTCTCTCGTCCATACCAAGCTCCACAGGGCCACACCAGCTGCCTCAGTACCAGGCTAGGCCCAGCAGGAAGAGATGGCTTTGGCCCAGCCCCGGCCACAGGGGCCACCCCAGGGAATTGTGTGAAGGACCAGCTCTTCCCTGGGAAGCACTTTGAATACTCTGTGCCTCAGTGGCCTTGTTTGCAAACTGCAGACGGGCAGCAAAGTGTCTCCAGCACAGGGGGCTCCAGAGAAAGCCCCTTCAGCAGTGGCTGATCGCCCACTCTGCCCTGCCACATCTAACAGGATGAAGAGGGGCCCCTGTGCTGCCCGCACCCCGACTGCCCGCTCCGAGCCCACATGATCTGCCTGGCAGAGTCGTTCCTGCGGGAGGAGCCAAGGCAGCTTCTGCCCCTGGAGGGCGAGTGTCCCGGGTGAGTCCTGCCGCCTGCCCCAGAGGAGGCTTGTGGGCCTGACTGCGTGTCCCCTGGCAGCTGCAAGAACTCGGTGCTGTGGGGAGACCTGATCTGGCTGAGCGGCACAGGCGTCCAGGAAGCAGAGGACGATGTGGAATTCAAGGAGGGGAGAGGGGGCCTAGGTGCCAGCCTCCTGGCCCCGGGCACCGCTCACCCCACTCTCATCCCACAGGCACACTGGACAGACATGCTGGAGACTGACTAGTCAACCCCCCCCCACCTGACTCCTCCCTAGACCTGCCCCTCTGGACTTGATCCCCCTCCCCCTAGACCTGCCTCTCTGCCCCCCAGCCCTGCCCCTGGTCTTAGGCCCGACCTACCCTCTTCCCACCCCTTTTCTCTGCCATCCCAGCCCGTCTGAGGGGTGTAAATATGCAGTTTTTACTCAGTTCAATAAATTTCTGAATGGGGCACTTCCGGATGTTTGCAGGGGAGGAGCGGAGGCAGCGGGCCCACAGGGTGGCTGAGGAGGGAAGGAGGGCTGAGGCTCTAGGCAGCAGCAGCAGCAGCAGCAGCGGTGCTGAGGACCACAGTGCCAGGGATGCAGCTTGTGCCCGCTCAGTGGCTCGGCATGGAGACCACCCTGACTCACAACTCACTCCCCTCGATCACGCAGCTCCACTCGAGCCAGGGGAAGGGGCTGCTCCCCCCTCAGTGGGCCCTGGGGCCAAGCCTGACTTGGCTGCATGCAGTCCCAGTTCCACTCTGGGCCATGCCCTCCCAGTTCAGCCCAGGAACGCAGGGAGCAAGGCACATACAGGCTTTAGGCAGCAACGTGTGCCCCTTTCACTTTTGCACCCCCCCCCACACCACACACACACACACACACACGCTGCTTGGACCGTGTGCCCCTTTCACTTTTGCACCCCCCCCCCCCCCCCCCCCACACACACAAGCTGCTTGGACCGGCCCTGTGGTTAGTGCCAATGGTTCCTTAATTGCCCGGGTGCCAGGGCCACTGGGTCCTGACTCAGAGCCAGCAGCAAGGTGAGCCCGACTTTGCCCTCCCCGCCCTGCCCGGCTCAGCCAATCCGAAAGGACGCGGGGCAAGATGAGAAATGAGGCCCCAAACTATCTGGCCCTTTTTTTTAAATCTAGTTCTGGACTTTCTCTGGGTGAACCCACAGTTGGGTTTTCAGGCCAAACTAAGCTTGGATGCTGAGGCAGCCCGTACTGGGCCTCGCCTCCCCAGCCCCAAACTCCACCCTTTCCTTCCTGGAGAGCAGCCAAGTCCCAGTGCACGCCAGACCCCTCCCACCCTGGACCTACAAGCCCTCAGCTCCTGAGGTGGCCGGGCAGTCTGCAGTCTGCAGAGGAACCGGGAGGTCAGGTGAGTGTGGGGCGGGCACCGGGCTCCCTGCTGCGTGGTCCTGGGGATGTCAGGTTGTGGTGGCCAACTTCAGCAGCCCTGCTCCAACCCTCTGCCTCTTCTGTGTCACCACGGATTTGCTCCTGACATAGCAGGCTCTGTTCCCCCCAAACAGCCCTATTGCCCAACTGTCTGTCCTTGAGCCAAGACGGGCAGTGGCTGAGGAGGGGGGATTCTGGGTCCCTGCGGGTCAGGAGGTTTGCAGATGCGAAGCCCTCTGCCCCCCCACTCCTGGATCTCTAGGAGGGCCCCACAGAAGAGCCACTCGGAGTGGGCCTGGAGCCAGATGTAGTAAGAGAGAAAGCTGGCTGGCAGGAGTTGGAGCAGGCAGGTCCGGAGCTGTCTTCCCCGGGTGCCCATCAGCATGTTCTGGAGCGCTTCCAGAGCGCAGCTTTCTGGGCACTGCCCTCCCAGGGAGGCAGAATCGCGGTGATGTATAGGCTGGCCGCTGGAATTTTGAAAAGCTCAGCGGGTAAGTCAAAGTACATCAGGAGTTGTCACCTGCTCCGCCACCTGCAAGCAGGGCCGTGTGCAAGGGTGAGCCACCAGGCTCTCAGCCTCTGCTTCCTGAGCTTTAGCACAGGAGGTCTGGTATCCACTCTCGGGAAAATATATACATTTTAAAACAGGAATTCATGGGGCAGAGCGCAGCCCTGCAGGTCTGAGGCCCGGGTGAGAATAATAGCATCCTTTTCACTTGAGATGAGGCCCCGAAGAGATTATCTAGCGGGCAGGGCACTTTGTTTTGCACATTGTCCTCCTGGTTCAATTGTCTGCACCCCAAATGGTCCCCCGGTATAGCCAGGAGTGATTCCTGAATGTAGAGCCAGTAGTAAGCCATGAGCATAGCTGGCTGTGACCCAACAACAGAAGTTTCCAAACCAAGGATGTAGCAGTTGCTCTGGGTGTGAGGCCCTGACTCTGATCTCCAGCATCGCAGGTATAAAGCATTCAGCGTTGTCCCCGTGGCTCAGAGAGGTGTGGCCCCACCCTTGACACAGCAGCATGGAGAAGATCCATGATGTGACCCGGCCGCCGTTGGAGTATGTGAAGGGGGTCCCCCTGATCAAGTACTTTGCTGAGGCCATGGGGCCTCTGCAGAGCTTCCAAGCCAGGCCTGATGACCTGCTCATCAGCACCTATCCCAAATCTGGTAGGTGACAAGGGCCGCCCACCTCTTGGGAGCCGTGGTCCTGAATGGCCCCTGGGCTCCCACCCTCAGTCCTGGCACCTCTTTCCCCTCCTCCAGGCACCACTTGGGTGAGCGAGATTCTGGACATGATCTACCAGGGTGGCGATCTGGAGAAGTGCCACCGGGCCCCCATCTTCATCCGGGTGCCTTTCCTCGAGTTCAAGGCGCCAGGACTCCCCTCAGGTATGCGGAGGGTGCGGGGCCGTGTGTGTGTGTGTGTGTGGGGGGGGTGTAGGCGGGGGTGCTCGGGGCTGGGACTCAGGAACCATTTTCTCATGCTTGCCTAGGAATGGACACTCTCAAAGACACACCAACCCCGCGGCTCCTCAAGACGCACTTGCCCCTGACTCTGCTCCCCCAGACCTTGCTGGACCAGAAGGTCAAGGTGAGAGGCATAGGCAGCCCGAGGATGCGGTGACTGGGGGGAAGCCCGGCTCTGACCATCTTCTGACTGGCACCAGTGCCAGGGAGACGCCCTTGGGCAGAGCTGAGAGCAGCAGACTCAGGCTGTTGGGGGCATCATGTGGGTAGGGCCAGGCACCCACACACCTGTGGCTTCAAGGGATCAGAGTCAGGCCTGGGGGCTGGAGTGATAGCACAGCGGGTAGGGCGTTTGACTTGCATGCGGCCAACCTGGGTTCGATTCCCAGCATCCCATATGGTCCCCTAAGCACCGCCAGGGGTAATTCCTGAGTGCAGAGCCAGGTGTGACCAAAAAAAAAAGTCAGGCCCAGGATAGCAGAGCAGGGCTCAAATCCATCAGTCACCCCTGCCCCCAGGTCTCTTTCACACGCCTGTGGGCCCATTTCTCTGCTGGCCAGGATGCTCTGTTTGTGTGTGTGTGTAGGGGGGGGGTCGGAGGGGGGCTGCTTCTGCCTGGCATGCTGGGGGGCTGATGGTGCCAAGCTGGAGCATCTGCCTGCCTTTCCAGACCATCTATGTCGCCCGCAATGCAAAGGATGTGGCTGTCTCCTATTTCCACTTCTACCGCATGGCCAAGGTGCACCCGGACCCCGGCACCTGGGACAGCTTCCTGGAGAAGTTCATGGCTGGGGATGGTGGGTCTCGGGAAAACTGCTGGTGGTGGTGGGCTTGGGCGGCAAGGGCAGCCCAAACTCACGCCCACATGCCACTGCCCTCCGCCTGCCAGTGTCCTATGGGTCCTGGTACCAGCATGTGAAGGAGTGGGAGGAGCTGAGCCATACCCATCCGATTCTCTATCTGTTCTACGAGGACATGAAGGAGGTGAGCCGGAGCAGAGAGGCAGGTGTATGTGTGTGTATGGGGGGCCCTGATGTTCTGAGATGTCCCCTGGCAGCCACCGGCAGTCATGGGAGACCATCCCTGCCCCCACTCACAAGGAACCACACCAGCTGGTTTCAGGGGCAGGAGGTGGCAGAGAAAGGGGCCAGTGTCCAGTGTGGGAGGGAGTCCCCAAGCAGAGAGCGCCGGATCTCCTAGTTGGAGAGGGGTCTCCCTTCGGCCCACATTTCCATGCACCCGCTGCTTCAGAACCCCAAAAGGGAGATTCAGAAGATCCTGGAGTTCCTGGGGCGCTCCCTGCCGGAAAAGACTGTGGATTACATCGTCGAGCAGACGTCCTTCAAGGAGATGAAAAAGAACTCCATGGCCAACTACAGCAACGTCCCCACTGAAGTCATGGACCACAGCATCTCGAACTTCATGCGGAAAGGTGCGCTCCTGCCCTGGGTGGAGTTTGGGGGACCTGGGGTTTGGGCAGAGCAGCCTCTGGACCTCCCGCTCGCTCCTTTTCCTCAGGCATTGCAGGGGACTGGAAAAACACCTTCACTGTGGCCCAGAATGAGCGCTTTGACGCCGACTACGCCGAGAAAATGGCCGGCTGTGGCCTTCACTTCCGCACGGAGCTATGAGGGAGCCAGGCGGGGAGAGTGCCCAGGGGGTTGGGGGGGGGGGGGTGTGTGGAGCAAGCCCAGTCCCTGCCAAGAATAAAGCACGGCTGTGCTAAGTGGAGCCCTGACTGAAAGCAAAGAGATCACGGAGCCCGCTGGGAGCGCCCCGGAATTCTGGTTCCCACCAGCTGGGGCTGGGTGGGAGGGGCCTGGTGCTGTGACATCTGGAACCACGGGCCGGATGGGAGAGTGTTTATTCAGTCACGTCCCCTCTGGGCACCCCTTTGAGGGCAGCAAGCGTCCTTCACTTTTTCTTGGGCTCCTTACAAGCCACGACGTATCTCTGGGCCACGTTGAGGGGCGGGGAGTAGCCATCTGCGTACGAGGTATCTTCAAACAGGACAGAATAATCATCCTGCGGCTGGGCCAGGGCAACAGGAAGGCTGGTCAGAACACCGAGGGGAAGCCCCCACCTGTCTCACAGACCCAGCTTGGTCTCTGGTCTCATAGGGTCCCCTGAGCACCACTGGGTGTAGCCAGGGGACCATCAGCTGAGCACCAAAGCCCCAGGGGTCCCCAAATATCATGGTGGGGGGAGGTTCTCCCCCTGAAGAGAAGTTCAGATATTTAAACCCAGCCGTTGCTCCTACAGAGTTCAGGTCTCAGCGACACCCAAACACCACTGGGCAGAGCTCAGAGGCCCCTGGGCACAGGCCCAACGCCCCTGGCATCACTGGGTGGCCCTGCTGGCCACAGCACTGATGAGCATGAACATTAGACCAGCCAGCCAGTTGGCGAGTATCCCCAGGAGTGGCAGCCAGGACCCTGAGCGCTGCTGAGGAGTGCAAAATAAACAAGGCCAAGGGGACCGAAGTGATGGTACAGCAGGGAGGCCGTGGCCTGGCACACAGCTGACCCAGGCTCCATCTTGGCACCTCACAGGGTGCTTCAAGCCCGCCAGGAGTGACCCCTGAGAGCAAAGCCAGGAATAAGCCCTGAACACTGCCGGATGTGGCCCCCAAGTTAATTAACAGGTTCAAGAGCACGGGGCGGAGGCTGGAGCAATAGCACAGCGGGTAGGGCATTTGCCTTGCGTGCAGTTGATCTAGGTTTGATTCCCAGCATCCCATATGGTCCACTGAGCACCGCGAGGAGTAATTCCTGAGTGCATGAGCCAGACGTAACCCCTGTGTATCACCGGGTGTGAACCTCCCCCCAAAAAAATGAGCATGGGGCAGGGAAAAGGGAGCGTTGAGTCGGGGTGGCCCTAGATGGAGGGTCTGGTACCCAACAGAGACCTTGCAGGCAGAAATTCTAGAAGAAGAGAAAAGAAATGAATTTGGAAGGGGGGGTGGGGGGCGAGCGCTGGCCTTCCACGGGGGCCTCCAATGGGCCACTCCCAGAATACTAAGCCACCCAGGTGGGGGTTCGGGGCTGGGCTCCGGGGTGCGATACTGCACAGGTGGGATGCTGAGACCACAAGGGCCCTCCCTGTGGTGTGTGGGGGCGCCCGGGGCCATACTCAAAACTATTGTGGTGTGTGGGTGCCCCTGACTACTGAGCCTGGAGGTCCGATTTTATAGCAGCTATTATTTAGGGGGACTTGGGGCCACACCCTGCAGCACCTGCGGTCACTTCTGGTTTGCGCTGGGGACCTGAACAGAGTCAGCCGCACACAAGGGAAGTACCTCTCCCTGAAGGATCCCCTGGTCCTGCAGGGATGGGGAAAGGGACCCGGCGAGAGCTCCTGGAGCGAGGGAGCATGCGGCCTCGGTGCCCCTGTTCTGCTATGAGCTATGCCAGGAAAGCGCGGCACCAAGCGGCAGAAGTTCCCGCAGACCTGCCCTGGCCTGGGCTCCTACAGCTGAAGGGCAGCCAGAAGGGGCAGCACCGCTGGGCTGGGGGTCACCGACTGTCCCCTGCGGAGCGCCTTACCCGCTGGGGGGGGGTGTGGATCAGGGCACGGTAGAAGCAGGTGGTCTGAGGGTAGAGGGCCAGCACGAGCTGCTCCTTCTGGAATAAGGCTTCGGGGTCCGTCTCGGGGTTGGCCTTCCACTGCGGCAAGGGGATGATGCGCCGCCGGCTCAGGGTGTGTCTCCTGGGGGGGCGGGGGTGGGGGGGAAGGTCAGCCGGCCGCCAGGTCCAGGGGTGCAACGCCCCCCCCCCGCCCAACAGTACTCACTCTTTGCCTTCTTCATCAATGTCGTCTACCTCATACCTGTGGGGGAACGAAATGATGGATGCAGGGCGGCATGTGTCCACGCAGGGGAGCCCCCTGGAACCCGGGACAGACCCCCGGGGGGGGGCAGGGTGGGAGAGCAGCCCCCGTGGGCTCCCCACTCACTTGTTGGTGGCGTGGCTGTAACTGACCACCTCAGCGAGGATCCACTGCTCGTCCCCGTCCACGGCCTTGACCCGGGCAGCCACCTTGTCGCCGGGTTTGGCCACGTAGTCTCCGGAGGCCGGAATGGCCCCGCAGAGGGGAGGGGGCCTGCAGGGGGACCCTTGTATGAATCGGGCCCCTCCTCACCAGCCCCCCGACCCCCGGGCTGCCCTCACTTGTCACCAGGCTTTCCGATCCATAGGGGCAGTGTCATGGCCGACTGCTGCAGCAGCGTCATCAGCACCCCCCGGCGCATGGTCTTCCGTGGGGGCTCCGAGTCATTGTAGAGGCCGGCGATCTTGGCCGCTGTGGGGAGGAAGTGAGTCCTGGGAGGTCACCCCAGCCCGGCACCCCCGCCTCCCACAAGCCTTTCCTTGTCACCGAGTGCCCAGGGCAGGATACTTAATGCCAGGCCAGACTGGTGAGTGCTTGGGGGAAGAACTAGAAGGGGCAAAGGGTGGCGTGTGACAGCACCTAAGCTCCATGGACTTCTTGTGCACTTTCCGACTATAGGTCAACAGAATTTTTTTCTTTTTGGGTCACACCCGGCGATGCACAGGGGTTACTCCTGGCTCATGCACTCAGGAATTACTCCTGGCGGTGCTTGGGGGATCATATGGGATACTGGGAATTGAACCCGGGTCGGTCACATGCAAGGCAAATGCCCTACTCGCTGTGCTACTGCTCCAGCCCCATCAACAGAATTTTGTAAAATGTCTTCGTGAGGGGCCAGAGAGCGAGTACTCTGGGTAGAACGCTTGCCTTGCAGAGACCCAAATTCGATCCCTGGCACTCATATGGTCCCCCAAGCCCTGCCTGGAGGGATTCGTGGGTGCAGAGCCAGAAGCCAGCCCTGATCACCGCGGAATGGGGCCCCAATACCACAACCAAAGAGAAAAATTCAAGTTCCAATGTAGATGGCCCTGTGCAGAGGCATGGCTCACCCCAGGGGCGAGAGGCTGGCAGCCAGGCCGGGACAGGTGTGCAGACAGCTGCAGAAAGGCGAGCTTTGTGGTGCGGACACGCCCAAACCCACAGTGGGGCCAGGTGCTCAGCACAGCCACACCTCAGACCGGGGCAAGAGAGAAACCCGGGAAGGTTGGGAGAGTCTGGGGACCGCAGAGGGAGAGCCAGGGGTTCAGGCAGCCCGCTGGGAGCCATGCTGGGTGCAGGCTGACTCACCGATCCGCCTCTCTTCCAGCAGAGACTTGATTTCTGCAATTTTGTCGAGGGCTTTCCGGAGGATGCTGAGGTTGAGAGAGGGGAGAAGAGGCCCGGGTGAAGCACAAGGCCACCTTTTCTGGTTTACTGAAAGCTGGGGCATTCAGACCAGCTGTGTTGCTGAGAATCATAAACCCCCAAGTGTGTGTTTTTTCCAGCTCAAGGATTAAAAAAAAAAAAAGACAAAACAAAGGAGACAGTAGCTCAGTGGCTCCTGGGCAGAACTGTGGGCGGCTGGGGGTAGAGCCTGTGGTGACCGAGGAACAGCTCAGGGTCACCCAGGTGCCCATGGCAGGAGCTGACTCTCCTCAGCAGGTCCAGGCTACAGGGAACTCGCTTCTGAAAGCTGTGACCTAGGGAACTTCTGGAATTATGTCTACAGGGGTTCCTAAGTAATGGGTAGAACTATGCTAGAGGAAGGCACCTTGAATTGTCCAGGACCCAGTGGAACTGCCTGCGGAATGTTCTAGCAGCATAGACCATGCAGTGGCCGATGCATTCTCACCCACTGCCAACCCGGTCTGCGATTCCAGCCAACCTGGTTGGGCCGGAGACAAAGTACAGTGGGGAGGGCGTCTGCCTTGCACGCAGCCAACCAGGTTCTATCCCCGGCACCTCAGATGGTCCCACACCTGCCAGGGTGATCCCTGAGCGCAGAGCCAGAGTAAGCCCTGAGCACCTCCCGGTGAGGACAAAAGCAAACCAAATCAAAGTCACAAGGTTCTCAAGGCCTCCCTGCCACGGGCAGGAAGGAGCCTAGCCTGCAAGAACACAGAAGGCTGCGTCACATGCTGTCCCTGGGGCCCACCTCAGCAGAGCTCATCAGAAGGAGTGGGGACAGCGCAGAGTGGGCTGGGTAAGATGGGGGGAGGGGCTGTCAGGGAGCACAGGCTCCCGAGGGCAGGGTCGGATGGGGGGCGGGGACGGGCAGGAGGAGACAGGGCAGGGCTGCCTGGCCATGTTCTCCGTGCAGCAAGGCTGCAGGACGGCAGCTATGACGGAAGTGGTTCTCCAGCCGGGCTGGACATCAGAATGCCCTGGGGAGCGAAAAGAATCCCTATTGTCTTAGGCAAGAATCATAAGCAGATGCTAAAACTTAGTGGGCGTGATGTGCGAGGGAGAGGACATCCTCTCCAACTCCTCCCCACTTTCAGTTACACAGTGGAGAAGTGCAGTACTTTGACATTGGGGAGATGCGAGAGACTGTGCTTCTGGTTCTGGGGTCGCATCAGCAGTGCTCAGAGGCTACTCCTGGCTCAGCGTTTAGGGGGGTGTTACTCCTCAAGGCACTCAGGGAACTGTTCAGTGGTGGGGATTGAAGCCCGAGCCCCAACATACAAACTGTTTGCTCAGCCCACAGCTTTCTCCAGCCAGGACGTGTGTGAGCACACAAGACAGTGGCCGGTGCAGACCTTCTCCTGAGCCACTGCTGCCGAAGCATCCCTGAAACAGCAGAGAGGCTCAGGGAGGCCTAGAACCTCCTGCATGCCAAGGTCACAGGGCTGGGGATATAGCTCAAGTAGCAATGCAAGTAAACTATTTAGCGTGTGTGTAAACCCACTTGTGCGTAGCCCTGGTTATCACTCGCAATGCATGGCCCCCCAAACACTGGTGGGCATGGCCCCAGGACAATAAGAAGTCATGAAGATAGGGCCAGAGCGATAGTACAGTGGGTAGGACGTTGCACACGGCCAGCTCCCCATATGGCATCTTGAGCACAGACCACACACTGGCCACTGATTGTCATGCACTGCCAACCCAGTCCAGACTCCAGCAAAACTGGAGAAATGCCACATGGCTGGGCCAGAGGCAAAGTACACTGTGGGGAGGGCGTTCGCCTTGCACGCAGCTAACTTGGTTCGATTCCTGGCAATGGTCCAGAAGCCTACCAGGAGTGATCTCTGAGGACAAAGCCAGGAGTAAGCCCTGAGCACCAAAGGATCAAGGTGACATAAGGCAGAGCCAAGCTGGGGACTGGTCACACAGAGATGGGGCCCTGGGGAGTGAGGGGCTGAAACTGGAGTGTGAACGCACCTGAGCTGTGGTTCTCCCCACAGCTACCACCTGGGCTGTGAAAAGCAAGGTTTTACTCTGCAGAAGTTTAGTTGGTAGTGATGAACTCAGAATATGATCTGTAGACAAATTAACAATTTAATCTGGTGTCAATGTGCCAATTTTGAAAAAATGCACCCGGGTTGCATAAGAACATGCCTATTGTTTAGGAAACAGCGACGTAATTAGGGAACAAAGGGCATCATGTCTGCAGCATACAGAGTTCAGGAAAAAAAAGTGTCTGAACATCATGCTGGGGTGTTAGCGCTAATAGCAGAGTCCTCTACGAAAACTGAAGTCACCTTCCCTTGCTGCTGTCACACACTGGGGTATGTGGGCTGGGGCCAGGGACTGAACTCTTGGCCTTATGCTGACTCAGTGCCAGCAGACAATCCCAGGGCCAAAGGGCACACGGATAGCCTGTGCAAAGCCCAGTTTGCTGCCCGGTACTGCAGGCGTCCCCACCCCAGCACCACCAAACCTTACTGAGAAACAAACAAAAAAAGCATGGGACCAGGGAGCTTGTTCAAAGAGCTGGAAAGTACGCCTGGCACAGACGAGGCACTGTCTGACCCCCAGAAGGTGTGCGCCCACCTACAGTGCTGGGTGTAACCTTAGTGGCCCCCAGTTGGACTTGCAGCAGAAGTGTCAGGTGTGGATTATAGGGCAAAGGATCACTAGGAGTGGCCCTTAGGGACCTGAGCCGGACAGGGGAACCTCCTCCAACACTGAGATGATAAGGAAATGTGGTCAAATGTTGTATTTGTTAGCCTCTGAAATAATTTTAAGAATAGAAAGTTAATACCAATATCTGAACTCTGCCCAATTAAATCAGGACTTCAAGGCACTGCAAGACTTAAGATGCAACCGGCAGGTAAATGTGTGCTATCCCCACACATGTCTGTGATCCTGAGTCAAAGAACCTGTTGGGGCTGGGGCTCAGCAGTGTTCACAGCATCCTGCGTGCAGGAGGCCTGGGGAGGGAGTGCATGCGCTCCCACAGGGACATTCTGTCCCCGACGGTCACTGCGGCAAGTCAAGGAAACAGCCAGACAGCCAGAGAACATTTACTATTGTTGTAGGGCCACACCCCGCAGTGCCTGGAATCGAACAGGGCGCCCCACATGCGTCAGCCCTTCCGTGATCTCCCCTGCCCCAGAAAATTTACTATTGAAAGAAGTCAGTAAGGGGCTGGAGTGACAGCACAGCGGGTAAGGCGTTTGCCTTGCATGCGGCCGGCCCTGGTTCGATTCCCAGCATCCCATACGGTCCCCTGAGCACCGCCAGGAGTGATTCCTGAGTGCAGAGCCAGGAGTAACCCCTGTGCATTGCTGGGTGGGACCCAAAGAGGAAAAAAAAAATCAATAGTATTTTCCTGGGCTGGGTCAGTACAAGAGTTAAGGTGCTTGACTTGCACAGGGCTGGTACCACCAAAAGTGACCCCTGAGCATAGAGTGAGGAACTCTGCCATAGTGTGGTCTGCAGAGCTTCCTCTCATACACACACAAAAAAATAATTTTTTTTCAGGGCCAGAGCAATAGTTCAGCGGATAGGGTGCTTGCTCTTCACGCGGCTGACCCAAATTCAACCAAATTCAACCCAAGAGTGAGCACAGAGCCAGGAGTGCCCTCCCCCAACAAACGGATTTTTTTTTTTTAAATTTTGGAATCAAAAAAGCTTCCCCTCATCCTGTTGGCTCTACCAGCCAGAGCCTGAGTCCCAGATCTGACAGCCAGCCTGCAGCACCCCTCAGGGCGTGCCCCCCAAGAAGCCAGCCCACCTGGACAGCAGAAAGGACTTCTGCTGACATTCCTACACAGCGAGGCCCCCAAGCCTTGACCCCCCCTTCCCCAGCCCTGACCCCACTGGCAAACAGAAGGGGCCCAAAGTGGTGAGGGTCCTTAAACAAAAACCCAGGTACGTGGAAACAGATTCTGGGGTGTTTGCTTGGTTTCTGGGCCGCACCCTGTGGTGCTCAGCACTTAACTCCTGACTGCACTCAGGAGTCACCTGGTGAGGTTCAGGGGAACCATATGGGGTGCTAGGGATTAAATATGGGGTCAGCTGTGTGCAAGGCAAGTGCCCTCCCCTCTGTATTATCTCTTGGGCCTCTGCAGAGCCAGCATTTGTTTAGAGTGACCGGTTCATAAGAACCAAGGTCCGCAGAGATTCCTTGGGGCCCTCCCTCTCGCTGAGCTGGTGGACAGAGCCAGGCGGAGCAGCGAGGACCAGTGCTCGGCACAGACGAAAATCCAGAGGCAGGACGTGTACATGCGTGTGTATGTGTGTCTGTGCGTGCGCACAAGTATGCTTGTGTGTGTGGTGTTGAATTTAGGGGCGAGGGGAGAGAACCTTCCTGTGACTTCCAGGCCCAGTCAGCAGCAGGGAGCAGCCCCTTGCTTGGCCCAGGGCCATCAGCATGCCTCTGCAGTGTAGTCCTGGTGCTGAACTCAGTTAGCCCCAGAGGGTCAGCGGGGCCCAACACGCCTGGCCTCCCCATGGCCATGGCCCGCAGTGAGGAATCTGGTCTGGAAATAAACTGACCAGCACCACTGGCGCGGTGTTCAAGGACTCACGGGTCCATGAGTTCCTCCTGACCCTGGAAACCGCGACTTTCCAGGTGTGCACAAACCTGGCTGTTGCCAAGTCAGTCTCAAAGAAGACCCTTTGTCTCTGGCATTCAATGTGGAGCCCCAAGGAAACTGGAGATAGGTAGGGAAGGAAGGGGAGCCAGGCCCAGCTGCCTCCTGGTCATAGTTTACGGCCCAACATCATGGCTGGTTCTGGCTCTGTGCTCTAGGGACCACCTGCGGTGCCAGGAATAGAACCAGGGTCGACCTAAGTCACATGCAATGCCAGCGCCTTTGCCCTATATTACCTCTCCGACCGGGAATCGGATTCTTCTACCAGACACAAAGATTTGTTTCATACCGGGTTTGTCTAGAATGGCTTCATTTCCTGGAGGTCTGAATATGTCTCTTGACTATTTCCTTCATTTGGGGGCCACACCCCGGGGCACTCTAGGGGCTTCTCCAGGCTCTGCTCTGTGGGTCACTTCTAGCAGTTATGAAGAACCATGTGCCGCTAGGGATCAAACTTGGGCTCCTGCATGCAAAGCAGCCCGGAATCTGTCTCTCTCGAAGGCGAGCTGACTGTACCGCCACCCAGCACAGTTTTCCGGAACACACAGGAATGCGTGCTCCGCCTTATACTTGGAACCAGCGACCCACACTCCAGTCCCCACATAAGTAAGGCCAAGTACAGTTGAGAAAGCCGTAACTTGGGATGAGAGTGGACGTACACCGGGGTGCAGGCAGGGTCCAGGCTAGGGCAATCAAGTATATACTACCATAAAGGGGTCACACAAAAGTTTTGGTTTCTCAGGGCACAGAAATCCTACTATACTATGCAGAGTCTCATATATACAGCACTGCTTCTAAAAAAAAATGTACATACTTAAAAAACCAATTCAGGGCCAGGGTGCTTGCCTTGCATGTGGCCAACTTGGGTTCGATTCCTAGCACCCCATACCCTTGAGAATGGAGCCAAGAGTAAGCTCTGAGCACCGCAGAGTGTGGCCCAAACAAAAAATAACAACAGTTCACTGCTAAAAAATGCTATAATGTGAACCTCAAGTGAGCCATCTTTATGCTGGTGGAGGTTTCAGTGAATCAAAACTGTTTTTAGTCAAAGAAATTTAGAGAGATGTGAATGGGCGTGAGAAAGCAATGGGAAGGGAAGGAGAGAAAGAGAAAGAAGGGGAGAGAGACGGAGGGAGGGAAGGAGAGAGGAAGGGAGGGAGGGAGGAAGGGAGGGAGGGAGGTATTCAAGAGAGAACACAGGCTTCTGGGGGGAGGAAGCAGAGGAGAGAAGGAAAGAAATATGAGAAATATGTGCTCAGGCTTGGGAAGAAAAGAAGCCGAGTGTTTACTTTTGAGATTTGTTTGTTTGGCTGTACCCAGCGGTGCTCAGGGCTCATACCTGGCTCTGCACTCAGGAGTCACTCCTGGCGGGCTCAGGGCACCAAAAGTGGTTCCAGGAATCAAACCTGGTAGACCACATGCGAGGCAAATGCGCCTAACCCACTCCAGCCCCAAGGTGGAGGCTACTGGGGGTGGGGGGTAGGGGAGCAACATCTGGGGGCCAGAGAGCCCTGAGGGCTGAGGGTCACGAGGCGTGGGTCGTCTCGGGTCACAGAATGGCAAACGTCTACAGAGCAGAGCTGGGAGCCGGCAGAGGCACCAGCAGGAGATTCCCAAACGCCTGCCCCCAACATAAAAGCAAGCCCCCCCCCCCCACTGCAAAAGAGCAACATTGTGCTGGGGGTACAGCTCCATTCTGTGTCTCCAGGTGTGAGGCCCTGAGTTGGAAAGGCCACATGGGCAGAGCACAATGAAACCAGGTACATTTTACAGAACGCCGCCCGCCCGCCCGGACGTCTGACGGCTGGGAAAAGCGAAATGGCAGCAGAAGGGCCAAGAATCTGGAAGCTGCAGTTACGCAACTCGTTACGAACATTTCACGCTGGGAAAGCTAAGAGCGGAGCCGGCCCACGCGACTCAGAGGCAGTTCCATCACTCGCAGCACTGACGTGTTGGCCTCTCTCTCCCTAGCACCCTACTGCCGGGCTGGGTTCCCACAGGCGACGGGAAAGGGCCAGTCAGGGAACAGGGAAGGGCAGGTGGGAGAACTGGAAGCAGTCAGAATCCACACTCTCCAGCCAGACCCCTTTGCTCTGCTCTCCAGCATGGTACATCACATGGGGGGCAGAGAGATTGTCCTTGCCCTGCTTCCGCTCCCCCTTGTCAATAAATGCAGAGCCCTGTGTCCCCTTCCCGGTTGGGTCCCTTAGTTCAAGCCTCTCCATGTATCCCAGGCACCTAGACCTAGATCCCTTGCACGGCACCTCTCGTCTGCTGGCCGTCCACCACACTGCCCGGGAACTCTTAGGGCACCTCCTGCCCGGACCCGTAGCCTGAAAGCACCAAAGGTCGCCAGCGCTGGCACTGGCTCACCAGCAAAGGCCTCAGAACCTGCACGGCGGGCGGAGGCACAGAGTCTGCGAGAGCAAGAGGGAGGCTGAGGGTGCAGCTGTCACCCCACAGAGACCCGCGTGTCCCTCGTCACCCACACGGGGTACAGCAGGGTTGAGTAAACGCAGACTAAGACTCATGTGTGAAATGAATTTTGTCAGTAACAACCAGTATGTATGAGAGAGAGAGAGAGAGAGAGAGAGAGACCGAGAGACCGAAAGAGAGAGACCATCTGTGTTATGCAATGAACAAAAACTCATTTTTAAAAAAAAAACAAACTGTAATTCTTAAAGGGCCAGGAGTAAGCCCTGAGCATTGCCAGGTGTGGCCCAAAAACAAAACAAAAAATGAATTTTGTGTTGGCTTCAGGCCATGCCCGGCAGTGCTTAGGGTGTGGTACCTGGGGGCTGCTCCAGCAGTGCGCGGGGCCAGGCAGTGCCAGGGAGGGACCCTGGGTCTCCCGCATTCCAATCCCCTCAGCTACCTCCTGGGCCCCCAAAAGTCTAATCTTGTTTCAATTCTATGATGTTTACACATGCACATGAAATAAATAATCATCCTTGGGGCTGGAGAGATAGGATAGCCAGTAGGGCGCCTGCCTTGCACATAGCCGACCTGGGTTCGATTCCCAGCCCCTCACTTGGCCCACTGAGCACCACCAGGAATGATCCTGGGCGCAGTCAGAAGAAAGCGCTGAGCACAGCCGGGTGTGGCTCAAAAGTCAAAAGAAGAAGAAGAAGAAGAAGAAGAAGAAGAAGAAAAACAACAAAAACCAAAGAAATAAAGAACCACACTAGCAGGGTATTAGAACTATGGTCGGGAATGAAACCTGGGTTCTCCCCCGACTTGTTTTGTGCCTTTTGGCAATGATGTAACCCCGAAGCGGCTTAGCTTCCTCATCAGTGCAGTTTGGACTGCTCTGAGTATCACTTTGGGGTTGGAGAGTGGGTCTGGGTTACAAGCAGTGCTTGAAGGTTACTCCCAATTCAGTGCTCAGGGAACCATGCGGTGGCCACGCAGAGCTATGGTGTCAGCTCCCTGCAGGGCAGGAGTCTCAGCCCCGCACACCTCTCTGGCCCCTGAAGTAAATCTGTCAAGTTTTTCTTGTTATTTTTGCTTTTTGGGTCCCACCCAGAGGTGCTCAGGGTTCACTCCTGGCTCTACACTCGGGGGTCACTCCTGGAGGGCTCAAGGGGCCACATAGGGTGCCAGGATCCAACCCAGGCCAGCCAAGTGCAAGACAAGTGCCCTATCCACTGCTCTCTCTCTCCGGCCCCGGATCTGTCAGGTATCTGGAGTAGGTCCTGACAGAGCAAGGCAGTGAGGTGCCGCCACTATTGTTGCTGCTGTAGTGTTTGGGCTCCTGCAGAAAAATGTCCCCTCCCATGGTTTGGCGAGCGTGTCAAGACAGGAGTGAGGCACTGAGGGGCACTGAGGGGCCCTGTCTCCCCCGGGGTTGCTCCTGGCTCTGCATCAGTGTCAAAGGCACCGTTCATCGACCCTTTGCATGACAACCCAGCAGGTGGCTGTTATTCCTATTTCAATGTCAAGGTTGGATGAGAAATAACGGCAGTACTGGGACTTGCCCTGTGCCTCGCTGGTTTCTGGAAACGGTAGGGCTGGGGTTGGAGACAGAAAGGGGCTCCCAGGAAGAGAGCCACAGAGGGGTGTGGGAAGGAACACTGGGTCCCAAGCAGAAAGGGGGCCGGGGCTGTGGTCCAGTGGCTCCCGGCCAGGCCAGGGAGCGAGCGAGGGGGCATGGTGACAGGCATTACTCACTTGCACTCCGCCTCGGCATCGGCCTTGGCGGTTGTATAGAGGCCACGCAGCTTTGTCCGGTAATAGGGGGAAACTGTAAAAGACAGAAAATGGCATGGGCGCAGGCTGGGGGCAGTCACGGGCGCAGGCCGGGGGCAGCACGGGAGGCCCTGCACCGAGGTCTGGTCCTCGGTGGGCAGAGGCGCTTCCAAGGCTGGTGTCCTTTTCAGTGACGTCACAATCTCCTAGGGCAAAAAAATGCCAGCACCGCCGCAAGGAGAAGACTTTCCAAGCCTGGCTGTGGCAGGACTCATGCCGAGATTCATCAGTGCACAGGAAAACATGAAACAATTCTCAAAGTGCCCGGGTTAGAGAATACCAGCCCGGAGCCAGCCCTGAGGGCCTTCCAGCTGGCGCAGGGGGCTCCTTGCAGACACGCTCTGGAGAGAACCCAGGCACGGGGCGCCCGTGTGCTCTCGAGGGCTCTCCCCTAGCTCCTCACCTCTGCTCTGCAGCAGACAGAACTGTAGCTCGAGCCTGAGAAGTGGTTCCTTTGGATTCCGAGAACCCAGTCAAAGCTCTTGTTTTTTGGGGTTGGTTTTTGGTTTTGGGCCACACCTGGCAATGATCAGGTTTTGCTCCTGGCTCTACACTCAGGAATTAATTCCTGGGAGGGCTCCGGGGACCATATGAGATGGCGGGGATGGAACCGCCGTGCCCAAGGCAAACACCCTACCCGCCGTACTCTCGCTGCGCCCCCTCCTGCATGCAGTTTCTTTCAACAACAGTCGGAGCCACACTCAGGGTCTTCGCCTGCAGCCCCCCGGCTCTGCCCTCCCGGGTGCGGCCACTCACTCTTATTCTCAGTCTGCATCCGCTCGTGCGTCTTCTGGATGTTCACCAAGTTGTGTTCGCTCCGAGAACGTTCCTCCTGCAGGGATGAGGTCAGAAGACAGGAGTGGGGCACCGAGGGGCACTAAGGGGCCCTGTCTCCTCTGGGGTTGCTCCTGGCTCTGCACTCAGGCGTTACCCCTGGTGGTGCTCGGGGGACCACATGGGATGCTGGGAATGGAACCTGGGTCGGCCGCGTGCAAGGCAAACGTCCTCCCCGCTGTGCTATCGCTCCAGCCCTAGTCTGTGCTTCTAACTGAATGAGCATGCACCAGAACTGCTGCGTGCAACCTGGATCCTAAGGTCCTTTCAAAGGTCGGGGAGTGTGAATAAGAATCACAAACAGAGAAGAAATGAATAAATGGGTCATACAGTGTGAGATGGGGACAGAGGGATACTACAGCGGGTAGGGCACTTACTTTGCATGCAGCTGACCCGGGTTCAATCCCCGGCATCACATCTGAGCCTGCCAGGAGTGATGCCTGAACACAGAGCCAGGGGTAAGGCCTGAGCACTGCCGGGCGTGGCTCAAAAAACAAACACAATCTTGTACTGGCAACTTGGGAGGCTCTGACCAAGAGACTATTACTGGCTTTTAACCCAGCTAGATGAGATGCCTGAAGGTTTGCCAAGACCACCTCTGCTTTTGGCCTCTGGGCGTCAAACGGAAGTCTGCAAACCCAGTGGCATCTTTGTATGTCTGAGGATGAACTGGATGGCTCATCAGTGGATCGAACTCGGGTCATGTGCCAGTCTCCTTGGTAATCTGTCTTCTTGAATTTAATTCATAAACTATTTTCAGACATCCACCACGAAACTGAGCCGACAGCAGAGCACTGCTACCCCCGTGCTCACCTGCACAATTGTGGCTTTGGGCAGGCAGTGGACCAACCCTGGATCAGGGCACACGTGGTTCTACCAGCTCCTGTGCAGGGGTGATGCTGGCCTGCTGCTAAGCCCCGTAAGCCTGGGTTCTCTGCTCCCCTTTTCCCCTGGACCTCTTTTTACTTGGGGTAGGGATGGTTTCTAAGCAGTGACACTGGGGCTAACTGGGCCATGTGGAAGGTGCAAGAATACAGAGCTACTCGTGGCCTGTGGTGTCGGGGTCCACCAACGCCACACCCCGCAGTGTTCAGGGGACCATACTGTTCAGGGGGTGAACTCAGATCTGACCATGAGCTATCTCCCTGCCCCTTATTTCGGCAGCTTATTCCATACTCTCACTGATGTGTTGGTTTTGTTTCGGGGTGTGTGTGTGGGGGGGAGGGGGCACATACACTGCCCAACTCAGGGCTTACTCCTGTCAGGGCTCAGAGGACCATATGGGATGCCAGGGATAGAACCCAGATTGATCATGTGTAAGGCAAATGCCCTGCCCACTGCGCTATCTCTGACCCTTCAATGATGTCTTCTTGTTTTGTTTTTTTTTTTTTTTGCTTTTTTGGGTCACACCCGGCGATGCTCAGGGGTTACTCCTGGCTCCGCACTCAGGAATTACTCCTGGTGGTGCTCAGAGGACCATATGGGATGCTGGGGATAGAACCCAGGTCGGCCATGTGCAAGGCAAACTCCCTACCCGCTGGGCTATCGCTCTAGCCCCTCAATGATGTCTTCTTAAATGTACTTCTTGGGCTGGAGATAGCACAGTGCTTAGGGCTACTCCTAGATCAATGCTCAGGGGTTGCTCTGGCTGTACTCAGGGGACCACGCGGTGACCTGGACTGACATCCAAAGCACGTGCTCCACCCTGAGCTGTCTTCCCATGCTACAAGCAAATATTTCATCCATTAAATACAAGATTTACATTCACCCAGTGCCCTTTCATTTTACTGGTTTCAGTCCAACATTCTAGCTGGTGGAGAATCTTTTCCATCTGTGTTGAAAATTTTTTAAAAGATCTGCAGAGAGCCTAAGGCAAAAAAAAAACAAAACTCAAGCAATAAGACCACACACCAAGGCTGACTGCAGGGCGCCTCCTGTCTGCCTGTGGCCAGCCCCCCAGGGACAGTCTTGTTCATTTGACATCTCTTGGCAGATATTTCTCCCTCTCTGCCCAAGTCACACTGCTGCCAGGTTGGTGGTCTTATAGCACCGGGCCCCGTACTCCTTCCATAGTTCATTCTCTGTATTGTCTGTTCTGGGGTTTGAGAAATGCGCACTGTTCTCATGTGCCCCCCGGGGGGTGGGGTATGAAGAACATTTTCGCAGTCCTAGAAATCGCCGGGGCTCCCTCTACTAACTCCTCACCCCTTTCAAGCCCCTGGCAACCACCGATCTTTTATTCTCCCCCAGTGTGGACTTTCCAAGAATGCCATATAGTGGGGCTGGAGCAACTGTCTAGTGGATAGGGCAGGTTCGATCCCCAGCACCCCGCAGGGTCCCCCATGCCTGCTGGGAGTGAGCCCTGAGTGCAGAGCCAAGAATAAGTCCCGAGTACTGCGAGTCTGACTCCCGAATCCAGTCCCCAAAACAATGTCACAGAGTGGGCCCATGAGCCTCTGTCCAGACATGATATGGCGGTGGCAGCAGTGGCACACCTGAGATGCAGACCCTTATGTTGAGACTGGACATGACCAGGGGAAGGGGACCACGTCTGGTGCCAGGGACTGAATGGGAGTACCAGGCAGGAGCTAAGCCCCTGTCCGCTCTCTCCAGCCCCCACAAGACATCCTTTAGGTGTCCGTGGCGGCACTGCAAGACAAACGGACCCTCTTTCCATGAGAAGCAGCATTCAGGGGTGGGGAGGGGGGATGGTTATTAATGAGAACATACAGGAGAGAACGATCTTGCAGGAGGAAAGCAAGGAACGGGAGTCAGCCTGGAGGCACTGATGGCGCCACAGTGAAGTGGGCCAGATCTCTTTTGTTTCGTTTTGTTTTGCTTTATTTTTGCCTTTTGGGTCATTCCCCGGATGCACAGGGGTTACTCCTGGGTCTGCACTCAGAAATCACTCCTGGAGGTGCTCAGGGGACCATATGGGATGCTGGGAATTGAACCCAGGTTGGCCGTGTACAAGGCAAATGCCCCACCCGCTGTGCTATCACTCCGGCCCCGAAGTGGGCCAGACCCCTTGATAATTTTAATAGAGCGGAAGGCTGGTGAGGCCAAGAGGAACGAACGGACAAATGGTGCTGTCCACGCTGGCTATCCCTGCAGGACGCTCTCCTGGGCATCTCGGGGACTCCTGAGGCTACGGAAGGCTTGAGGCACCTGTCATGCATGATCTGTTCCATGGCTCCCTTGGGCCCAAGAACAGACCAGAACCAGGACTCTCCTGAGGCCCAGGGAGCGGCCGGGCCAGGCCGGGCCCAGGACACTGCTGCATCTCTCCAAGGGGCCTGCAGGACAATAGCGCTCGGGGGAAACCAGTCATTGGGACAAGCACAAACTGGGGGACTGGCTTTGTCCCCAGCTGACTGGGAGCCCAGAAATAGCTGAGTCATAACCAAGTGTAATAAAGCCTGTCCAGGACAATATTTGGTAAGTGGGCAGAGCCAAGTCCTATCTTGCCAAATATTATGCATGTTGAGAAAGGACAAATAGTTCTGTGATTCCTACTATTCTGTTCTCGACCCCATGACCTGACTTCAACTGGATGGAACAGCAGCACTGTTGGTCAACAAGATTATGTGATGTGTGAAAACAATCGTATGCGTGACAAAATGTCTTGGGAAACTGAGGAAAACCCACTGTCAGGGCCATACCGATGGAAAACGATCTAAGAACTGGATCTTGATAACTGGGTATTAAGGTACAGACAGAGATAGATGAAGGGAGGTGATGGTGTCCAGATGAGCATGGCAGACAGGAGAGTGCCTCTTGGGGTTCTGGAGAGGACGATGCATTTAAGTTGCGGCCTGGACCACGTGTGGTACATCCCCCTGACCCGCTGCAGTGTCTGTGATGTGCAAGTCACACCAAAGGTGGGCGCTCCAGCATGGTGCTCCTGCTCTGGGAGAAATTGCCCAATGGTGGCCTGGCCCATGCAGTGAAAAACTCTCAGTCAGGGGCTGGATTGAGAGCATGGAGGGGAGGGTGCTTGCCTTGCACATGGTTAAACTGGGTTCAATCCCCAGCACGGTATGTGGTCCCCCAAGCACCGCCAGAAGTGATTCCTGAGCACAGAATCACGTGAAAACCCTGAGCATTGCTGGATGTGGGCCAAGAAGGGATGGGGGGAATTAAAAAAAAAAAATCTCAGCCCGGGCTGGAGATATTACAGAGAATAAGGTTCTTGCCTTGCATGTGTTGATCCGAGTTCAATCCCCGTCACCCCATATGGTCCCCCGAGCCCTCCAGGAATGATTCCTGAGTGCAAAGTATATACCCTGAGCACTGTTGGGTATGCTGCCCCCACCCCCTACTAAAAAAAAAAAAAAGGGGTAAAAAAAATAAAAAAAGATTTTCAGCAGGCCTGGGTTGAGGCTCTGCATATTTCCTAAAAGGTTCTGACTCTTGACCAGCTTCTTGGTGGTAACCTGCAAACACAGAGAGAATCATGCCTGCTGAGTGTCTCTCTGTTTACTGGGGATGGCCGACGACGCAGTGCAGTGCCAATGGGTCTGGAATGTGAATGAGCTCTCATTAGAGCTGTTACGAAACAAACAGAAAAACACGAAAATCCGGCAGCAGTGGTGATGCGAGCCAACCTCCTCCTCCTCCTCCTCCTCTTCCCCCGCCTCCAAGTCTCTGACACAGTCCCGGCTCAGGGGCACACGCAGGTTTCCTGAGGAGTGGAAGGCAAGGGGCTTTTTACCTGGGTTTGCTTGATGAGCTGATGCAGCTCCGTGAGCAGCTCTGCAATCCGGGAATCCGCAGACACGAGTGCCATGGTCGATGCGGGCACCTGGCGTGGGTCGGGGCAGAGAGAATCCTGTTAGTGGTGCTGGGGGAGGAGGGGTTACAGGCAGGTCTGCCGAGAAGACACGCTGAAGTCAGGGTCTCAGGGACAGCTCCAACCTCTGGGGCTCATGCAGAGCACGCGGGCGGCCTGTGTTCAATGCCTGGGATGGCCCTGCATGGTTCTCCGAGAACCACCTGTGCCCGCCAGGAGGAACCCCAGAAACCACCAGGGGTATCCCCAACAGCAATCCAAAATGCTAAGTTGGAGTCTTAACCCCTGGCATCTGTGAAAGTAGTTTTTTTGGGGAAACGGATCTTGGTAGCTATAATCCAGGCTGGGCCCCAAGTGCAGTGGGAAGGTCTCCAGAAGGGACAGACAGAGGTACAGTCTGAGGTGCCGAGGACACAGGCCATTCTGTCCTTCTGCGCACCTAAAAAGGAATCAACCACTGGCTGATGGGATTCAAGCCCCCCCAAACTGAGAGAACACATTCAATTGACTAATGCCACCCAGAGCCCCCCAAACTGAGAGGACACATTTGATTGGCTAACGCCACCTACTTTGTGGTAATTACAGCAGACCTAGAAGATGAACACAGGGTGAGGCTAAATCAGCTACCTCTTTGTATTCAACAGATTCAATATTCTTTTTCACTCAACAGATTCAATATTCTGACAAAAGACTCAAGCATTCTAGTTTCAACACCTTCCATTCGTAAGGCACAAAGTTTCTTAGTGTAGAGGAAAAAGAAATTAGCTACTACCTTAGTTGAGGTAAGATGATTATATTCTGGTGAAAAAAGATTTTTTTTTGGTTTGCTTTTAGACCACACCCAGCGGTGCTCAGGGCTTAGTCCTGGCTCTGCACGTAGGGATTACTTCTGGGTGAGCTTGGGGGAAGCATGTGTGGTGCTAGGGATCAAACCTGGGTCGGGCATGTACAAGACCAATTTAACCCCTAGGCTGTCTCTCCAGCCCCCAGGATTCTGGTTAAGATCTGAAGATGCTACATGAAGTTCTGCATCCATCCAACCTTGTAGAAAGGTTCCTGAGCTCGGGGATGTGACCGAGTGGGACAGCACCTGCCTCACACATGGCGGTCCTGATTCTCACTCCCTGCACTCCAGCCCCCTGAAGAAACAACTATTTTTTGTTTTGTTTTGGGGCTACACCCAGCGATGCTTAGGGGTAACTCCTGGCTCTGTACTAAGGAATTACTCCTGGCGGTGCTTGGGGGAACCATACGGGATGCTACGGAACCATCAAACCCAGGTCAGTCGTGTGCAAGGCAAATGCCCTCCCCACTGTACTATCACTCTGGCCCCTGGATACACAAAATTTTTCTATCAATTCATTAACAGATAAATATTGGATTGTGTCCACTTTGCTTTTTGGGTCACATCCAGCATTGCATAGGGTTTACTACTGGCTCATGCACTCAGGAATTACTCCTGGTGGTGCTCGGGGGACCATATGGGTGCTGGGAATCGAACTTGGGTCGGCCGCGTGCAAGGCAAACGCCCTACCCACTGCGCCATTGCTCCAGCCCGTGTCCTCTTCGGTGCAAGTAAGAATAATGCTGTGATGGTGATCAGAGTGACCGTACAATGGGAAGGGAACTCGCCTTGATTGCTGACCCAGGTTCAATTCCTGGCACCCCATGTGGTCATCAAATATTGCCAGGAATGATCCCTGAGGGAGGGAGAGGAGTAATCCCTGAGCACCTCTGGGTGTGGCCTCAAAATGGAGGAAAACTGATGTTGTAATGAATTCTCTCAGACACTTTCTTTTGGTTTTGGCTTTTTGGGTCACATCAGGCAAAGTTCAGTGGTTACCCCTGGCTCTGCACTCAGGAATTACTCCTGGCAATGCTCAGGGGACCATAATGCGACATTGAGGATCGAATCTGGGCAAGCTGAATACAAGGCAAATGTCCACTCTGCTGTACTCTCGCTCTGGCCCCCAGCCAACCCCAGTTTGATCTCAGGTTATCACATATAGGCCCGGAGCGCCACCAGGAGTTATCCCTGAGCATCGCTGGGTGTGACTCCCAAAACAAAAACAACCAACCAAACAAAAAAGGCTGCTGTGCAAACCAGAGCCACAGGAAATGATGAAGTAGAGGGCTGGTGCGGTAGTGCAGGGAGAGGGCATTTCCTTGCATGCAACTGACCCAGGTTCAATGCCCAGCACCCCGTATGCCTCACCCCCAAAGACTGCCAGGACTGATCCCTGAGCACAGAGTCAGGAGTAACCCCTGAGCATCCCTGGATGTGTCGCCGCCCAAAAAACTAAAAATGAAAACGATGATGTAGTAGTGTTTAGAACAGAGATTGGAAGTAGCTAAACTTGGGAATACACTCGCTGCTAAAATCTTGGAATGATACGTGGGAGTATCTGCTCAGTGAGGAAAAGGAAGAAAGCCCCACTGCACCACGAGAGTAAATTGTAAGGCAGTGTAAGGTTGTTCTCCGGCTAACACTGAAGACTCCGGGCCAGACTCACTTCACTTCTTCTGGGGATGAGGTGGGGCGAGGGGGGCCCATCCAGTGGCCTGGAGTTCCCAGAAGCCGTACTGCTCAGGCCTGTGGCGACGGGTCAGAGCAACAGCACAGTGAATTAGTGCTCACCTGGCACTTGCCCAACTGGGTTCAATCCCCGCCACCCCATACAGTCCCCTGAGCCCCGCCAAGAGCGATCCCCGAGCTAAGAGTACGCCCTGAGCACTGCTGGATGTGTCCCTAGCCCCTACCAAAAAAGAAAAAAAGAGAGAAAGGATATGTCGGAGATCTTATTCCTACAGATGAAAGCAGGAGACGGGGCGGGCTCCTGCTTGCTGGCTGGCCTCTGGCTGGCAGCGCTGTGCCACCCCCCCCAGCCCCTGCAGCAGATCTGTCGCACTGTAGCACGGTCCTCCTGTTGTTCATCGATTTGTTAGAGTGGGCCCAATAACATTGTGAGACTTATTGTTACTGTGTTTGGCATATCTAATACGCCACGGGGAGCTTGCCAGGCTCTGCCATGCGGGTGAGATACTCTCGGTAGCTTGTCGGGCTCTCCGAGAGGGATGGAGGAATCGAACTCGGGTCAGCTGGGTTGGCTGTGTGCAAGGCAAACGTCCTACCCGCTGTGCTATCTACTTCAACGAATTACACGCTGCTCGTGGTTCTGCTTCCTGTCCTTCAGTGAGGACAGCAGAGAAGACAGAGGGCAGCTCCGGCCCAGCCTTCAGCATCTTCCAGGGGGCCTGACGACAGCGCCTTGCCCCACGCACAGCGAGAACACTGGGAAACCAAGAAGCCCACCAAGCTCAAGGAGCGAAAACGGTGTCATCGGAGACACAAACACCAACACCCAGCTCAGTAAATCCTGAGACTGTCCTCAGGGACACTGTGATGGGGATGTTCAATGAGCTCAAAGAAATGACGACACAGGCGGTCAGCAAAGCACAAGAAAGTGTGAGAGTCAAGGGGCCGGAGCGACAGTACGTACAGCAGGCAGGGCGCTTGTGTGGCACACGGCTGACTGGGGTCCGATCCCCAGCATCTCCTAGGGTCCCCCGAGAATCGCCAGGAGTAATTCCTGAGCACAGAGCCAGGAGTAACCCCTGAGCATTGCCCGGTATGGTTCCCCCCGGCCACCAACACACACAAAGTGAGTAAGAGTCAAAATGAAAATACTACAGCCAGGAATGACAGCAGTAGAGAGGACAGTAAGATGATATAAGAAAGTCAATGGGGGCCGGGGCGACAGTGTAGCCAGGAGGCGCTTGCCCCGCGTGTGGTCTGGTTGACAGAGGTTCAATCCCAGCAACCCATATGGTCTCCTGAGCATGCCAGGTGTTATCGCTGGGTGGGTGACCCAAACCAAACAAACAAAAGTCAACAGAAGCTCTGAAGAGAGTAACAGCAGGGGAGCAAAACCTCAAGGAGCTGCAAGAAGAGGAGGAAACCGCTTGGAAACAGCGAACGGTGGAAAATAGTCTAAAGAGAAATGAACAGCGTACCGGGAGGGGCCGAGAGCCCAGCTCCCAGCCCTCCTCCAGCCCTTCCCTTCTGCCCAGACCCTGCCTGCGCGACAGCACCCCTGTTTGCGGGGTGACTGACAATCCCAAACGCCACAGAAAGGGTAAGACTGTTCCCAGAGGGGCTGGCGCGATAGACAGCCGGGAGGGCCGTCTGCCTTGCACACAGTCGACCTGGGTTCCATCCCTGGCACCCCACAGGGTCCCCTGAGCACCACCAGGAATAATTCCTGAATGCAGAACCAGGAGTAACTCCTGAGCATCGCTGGGTGTGACCCCAAAAGCAAAACACAAACAGACAGAAAGACTTCCCAGAATCTGAGAGGAAGGGCTTTGGACCTCAAGGGAAACCTTTTCCGGGGGACAGGCTCCTATGAATGTTCCCTACTTGCAGGCTTGGGGCTGACAGGAGCAGAGATCGGAGGGGCGGGATCCAGGCAGAGCCGGAGCCAGTCTCCCGCCACTGCCCGCTTCCATTCCTCCCCGGCCATGTCCGCTCAGCTTTCCCGGCCCTCCTGACCCCAGGAAAGCACATCCTGTGAGCCTGCCACAAGCACTGGCCTCGCACTCCTTTCAGGTGCAGCTCAAGGCTGGCTAGCCGGGCTACAGCGGCATCAGTCGAACATCTTGCACCTGATTCCTGGAATCCACCGGACCTCCTCCCACTCGCCTCTCTAAACTTCTCACCAGCTGATGCACATCCATCTCTTCTTTCCTGCCCAGACCCAAACTCCGTCTCTGCTTCCACCCATCGCCAACCGCCACGGAGAAGCGCTACTAAGACGGATCCGGGAGGGGCCGGGTACAGGGCCGTGATGGCTCCCAAAAACATTAAGCTGGAGCCCACCTCAGCCCCAATTTTTTAATAAAGTCAATGTGCCCAGGAAATCACAGAGTGCCAAGGCTCAAGCCCAGCCCTCCCCCATGCCAAACGTGCTCCCTCGGGCTGGGGAAGACAGGACAGCAGGTGAGGCACTTGC